GGACTACATCACACTAAAAAGTTATTGCACAGCAAAGGAAACCATCCTCAGATGAAAAGAAAATCCACCAAATGGAAGAACATATTCGCCAATGATACATCTGATAAGTGATTAATATCCAAAATATACAAAGAACTTATACAACTCAATACCAAATAAACAAACAATCCAATTAAAAAATGGGCGAAGGAACTGAATTGACACTTCTCCAAAGAAGACATACAGATAGCCAATAGACATATGAAAAGACTAGAGGCCTGATGCACAAAATTCGTGCAAGGGGCTCCGCCCTTTCAGCCCTGGCTGCCTCATGGCCCCACCCACTGGTCTAATTAGCATATTAGCTCTTTATTATATAGAATGGTCAATGTCACTGTCCATCAGAGAAATGCAAATTAAAACCACAATGAGATACCTTACACCTGCTAGAATGGCTATAATCAATAAATCAACATACAACAAGTCTTGGTGAGGATGTGGAGAAAAGGGAACCCTCATGCACTCTTGGTGGGAATGCAGGTTGGTGCAACCACTGTGAAAAACAGTATGGAGTTTCCTCAAAAAATTAAAAATGAAATTGCTTTATGACCTAGCAATTCCATTTCTGGGAATATATCCAAAGAAACCAGAAACACTAATTCTGAAGAATATATGCACCCCTATGTTCATTGAAGTGCTATTTACAATAGCCAAGATTTGGAAGCAGCCAAGTGCCCATCAGTAGATGAGTGGATTAAAAAGCTGTGGTACATTTGCACAATGGAATACTATTTGCTCGTGAAAAAAAAGAAGGAAATCTTAACTTTTGCAACAGCATGGATGGACCTGGAGAATATTATGCTAAGTGAAATAAGCCAGTCAGAGAAAGACAAATACCATATGATTTCACTTATATGTAGAATCTAATGAAGAAAATAAACAAACAAAATAGAAACAGACTCATAGATACAAAGAACAGACTGACAGCTGTCAGAGCAGAGGGGGGTTGAGGGTCTGGGTGAAATAGGTGAAGGGATTAAGCAGAAAAAAAACACCAAAATTCATATACACAGACAATAATATGGTGATTACCAAAGGGAAAGGAGGGCGGAGGCAGGTAGGAAAGGGTAAAGGAGGGATAAATGGCGATGGAAGTAGACTTGACTTAGGGTCGAGAACATACAATACAATATACAGATGATATATTATAGAATTGTACACTTGAAACCTATATAATTTTATTAACCAGTGTCACTCCAATAAATTCAACAACAAAATTTTTAAAGGCTTTAGGAGATACATTAGAACAGTGGTTCTCAACCTTGGCTGCACATTAGAATCACCTGGGAATCTTTTTCAAATCCTGATTTCTGGGCCTCATCCTCCGGAAATTCTGTTTCTTTGTTACTAATGTTGTGGCCCCACCCCATAACAAAGACAGCCTATTATAAAAGTTTAGCATGAGATAAATTTACTTAGTACCGGTCAGTAATCTAAAAATATACACCCCCGGTAGCAGTACTTGGAGCATTTGCCACAGAGAGATCCCATGCTGAGCTCTTCAAACGTTTTATTTTATTTCATTCTCACAACAATTTTCTGAGGTAAGAATTATCACTTGATTTTGCAGTTGAGGACACCATGGCTCAGAGCAGTCAAGTACCTCCCCCAGCATCATAGGATCAGCAAGAGAAAGGGCCAGGATTTCAACTCAGGTCTGACTCTAGAGTCTGTGCTATACTGCCTGCCTTTCACTCTCTCGATTTATTGTCAAGTATGACAAATCTCTACTACCCTTAATGTTTTAATAATGACAGTGGCTAACATTATTTGAGCACATTTATTTACTAAGAATAATTTAAATCCTTTACATGTATTAACTAACCAATCCTCACAACCTTACACCTATTTTACAAATGAGAAAACTAAGACACAGAGAAGTTAAATAATTTGTCCAAAAATAAATTGCTACTGATTGGAGGTGGAGCAAGAATTCAAATCCAGACATCAGGCTCCAAAGCCCAGGTTGTAACCATCATGCTTTGTGGCATTCATTATCACTTTATGAGCATACTAGAGGCCTGGTGCATGAAATTCATGCACTCGGAGGGGGGGGGGGTCCCCCAGCCTGGCCTGTGCCATCGATGGCCTCAAAGAGATAGGCCCCGCCCACCCATCCAGGCTCCTTGATGGATTGCCCCAAAGAGGTAGGCCCGAGCCAGGGGTCCCGCCTCCGGGCCACATAGAGCCAGGAGGCGGGACCCCCAGGACCCCCAGGCAGGCCTCACCAGACCCCCAGGAAGGCCTTGCTGCGTGGAACTGGGAGGAGGCGGGACCCCCAGGCAGGCCTCACTGCACAGAGCCAGGACCCCTAGGCAGTCCTCGCCAGACCCCCAGGCAGGCCTCACTTCGCAGAGGGGGGCGGGCAGGCAGGGGCCCCCAGGCAGGCCTCAGTTTCTTCACTGTTACATGGTAACAGACTGGGTCTTCCTGTTTCTCCGGCTTTCTTTCTTTGCTTCCAGGGGAAAATGTACTTGGCGCATTTCTCACTGGGGAGAACTGGGGCAATACAGTGAAAAAGTGAAAAGTAAAGAGGAGCTGGGCCCAGAAGAGCTGACCTTATCTGAGCTTTTGTCCTCACCTACAAAACAAGAGAGAGATCTGTGCACAGGCAAGCTTTGTGCAAAGCACCTGCCACCTGTGGGCTGTATGCTGAGGTAGTTCTGAGCACAGCAGGCCAATTCCTGCATGGTGGTATTTGGCCAGATCTGAACAGCAGCTGTCCCTTTCAGGCAGAGCATGAGCTCTCTAGTTTGCCACACTCTTTGCCACTCCCTACTACTCTCTGACATCAAAGCCAAATGTTCAGTTGTCAGATATCATCATCTTGTGCTGTGGGTACTTTTATAATAGAATTAAGAGAAAAGTAAAAAGGAATTTTTTAAAACTCAAATCTCTATTAAGAGTAGAAGTGATAAGCTATGTGTTTCAAGTGGGTTGTAGAATTGAAGAACACTCTTAAGGAGAAGACAATTCCTTGTGTGTAAGAGGCGCACAAACATCTCCCATTTATGTTGCCTGTCTGACTCCTGTAGGCATTTGAGTTTGCAGACCCTTTAACACAAAGAAAAATGAATGTAGTGGGTAAAAGCATTAGCTTTGGAATGAAGACCTGAGCTTGGATGCTGGCTCCGGCACTTAACTCACTGTGTGAGCTTGGCAAATTCTTCACCCTCTCTGTGCTTTAGTCTCCTCACATGTAAAATAGAGGTAATTATAGTACCTACATCAGAGGGCTGCTGGAAGGTGACAATGAGATCCAAGACAGGATGTCCTTAGCCAGTGCCTGGCACATGGTGCTAGCTATTACTAGTGCAAAGTACCACACAGAGCAATCATCTACAAGATGTTTAAGGGTCTCAATGTGAGGAGATGAGGAAAGAAGGCATGCTTATGCCACACAGAAAGGCCTAAGAAAAGAATGAGAGGGAATGGCAACTATCGGGTGTCAAGGGCCAAAACAGAGGCTTCACAATGAAGCTGAAAAGATCATTTACGTGAAGATTTTAAAACTCAGGCTGAGGAGAACTATCCAGTAAGTCAGTATTTCCCAAAATGTGTCACTGTGTGATGAATCTAGGTGATAAAAATGGAATAGGGCATTAAATAAGAGAATCACAAGGTGAGAGTGTCATTCTCTTTTGATTCTCTTTCAGACCTTCTAACTAAGCACAGGGGAACGTCTGGCTTTGATGCTATTCATCTCAAGCACCTCTCTGACCATACGGGCTAAACCTCCAGTTCTAGCGATAGTAGACCTCAGGCTTAAAGGCTCCATAGCAACAGTATCTAGCTACAGCTCACCGGCAGTTCTGTTTCTCCTCGCTTTAATCCTCACTGGCGATATGCTTTTTAAAAATAGATGTATTTTTATTGATTTCAGAGAGGGAGAGATAGAAACATCAATGAGAGAGAAACATGGATTCGCCACCTCATATGAGAGAGAAACATAATTCGCTGCCTCATGCACGCCCTCTACTGGGGATGGAGTTCTCAACTTGGGCATGTGCCCTGAGTAGGACTCCATCCTGCGACCTTCTGATGCATGGGACCACCCTCAACCAACTGGGGGGGGGGGGGGGGGGGGAACATCCATCGGTTGCCTCCCATAGGGAATCGAACCCTCAACCTGGGTATGTGCCTAACTGAAATCAAACCTTCAACTTTTTTGGCGTATCAGAAGCTCCAACCCACTGAGCAACTCGGCCAGGGCTCCTTACTTAGGTTTTACAGTTATCTTATTATAGCAAGTAATATTATTTAGGCGAACATAAGAGAGACCATTTAGAGAAAAACATCAAGTAAATAAGAGATGTGGATAAGGCAAGGAAGTTGGAGAAACATGTCATGGATGTAAAAGGAGTCCAGGGCGTAATGGGCATAAGGGCCAAATTGTGATATGTGTACATTCCTTTGCCCCTTCTCCAAGCCTCAGTTTCTCCATCTGCAAAGGGGTCGGGGAGCGACCTCTCAGCCACCCAGTCCCGGGGTTCAGCGCCCTCAGCCTAGGCCGCCGGCCCGTTGCCCCTGGCAACCACAGGAGTTCTCGCAGAGGCTACCGCTATCCCCGCCGGGGCTGGGCCTCCCGTTCCTCCCGGAATGCCCCGCTCCTCACCACTGTTCGGCTTTATCTCTCCACGTCAAGACGGCCCTCATCGCGCCTTCCCTCACGCCTCGGGCCCCTCCTCCCCGCCTCAGCAACTCGGCCCTCGCCGCCCGCCAGTTCGGCTACCTGAGTTACCGTTGACAACGCACATGCGCAGTGAGCTACGCGCGCGCAGCGTTCCGAGTGCGCATGTCTGCAAAGGAGGGCTGGTAAAGGGGCAAAAGCGGGGAAGGAACTGGAGCCCAGCCGGCGTCTGCGCAACTGGGGCGCGCTCGATTGGTCAGAATGGGCGGAGGGCGGTGCGTCTCCCTCGACAGAGGACCTCATTGGCCGAGCGGTGGAACGAGCTAAGGCAGAGTGGGCGGCCGGAAAGCGGCTATGGAGTTTGACAGGTTTTTACCGCCCTCAGTTTTAGGTTTCAGCCTAGCATTCTGAGCCGAAGGAATTTTCACCTCTTACTCTGCTCCACGCCCTGGGCGTCGCTCCCTGTTGGCCCGCTGGTGCAGCCGGAGTCCGCTGGAGAGGCACGGCCGGGATGGAGAGTCCGAGCCTGGGAGTCATTGGAGCTGCTCCCTCCGTCACCGCTAGTGAGAGCCAAGCCCCAGACCGGCCGTGGGACCTCCGGCAAGTCCTTGTCCGCTTCCGGGTCTCAGTTTCACCACCTGTAACGTGGGAGCGGGGGAGTAGAGGTGGGTGGGCCTCCCGGGAGTCCACAGGGACCTCGAGGCTCAAGGGCTCCTTCCTAGGAATTAAGGCTGGAACTCAGTACTATTCCGGTGGGGTCAGCCCTGGGGTGCCCCCGACTTCCTCACCCCAAAATGCCGAGAGGGCTGGGAGGAGCAGGGATTGGTGCCAGGAGACGTCTACTGAGAAGGAGGATCCTAGGAAGGAGATGTCATGTTAAGCAGCCAAGAGCGCCCCAAAAATGGGTCCTGTGAGCAGTAAGGAAGCTACAGTCATGTATTGAGTACTTGTGTATGTGCAATCTGGGGCTAAGATGAGTTACTTTTCTTTGGAAATGAAATCCTCAGAAGTACCTTCAAAGGTATTACCTCCTTTTTACAGATGAGGAAGGGAGACTGAGAGGTTAGGTAACTTGTTCCTGGACCTGCAGCGAGTAAATGGCAGAGCTGGGATTTGAACCCAGTATGTTGACTTTAAAGTGTGTACTCTTTTCACCAGATTTCAGTCTCCTTATCGCTAAAGTTGTGAACTCTGTAATTTCTCAAGATCCACCGAGCTTCCCAAAACTACATGGCCCCAAATTATGTCAGAAGACCGTGATTCTAATTTTTGTTAGCTCTTTAGTTTCCCTATTTCTAGAAAGGAAGTTGTATTAGACATCATTATACCCATTCAGTTTTTGAAATGTGTGATTTAGTGATTAGGATATACTCTGCTGAAGTTTTTCAATAATAGTACAGGGGGAGTAGCATTAGATTTAGTAGACCTGGGTTCTGGTATCAGCTCTGCAAATAACTTAATCTTCCTATCACTCAATTTTATCAATAAAATTAGAGTAATCTTTATCCAACCTACCTCATAAGATTATGAGGATCAAGAATGAAAGAGACTTGAAAATTCTGTGTCATAAATTACCTTTTGGTAAGTAATCTGATGAAAGTGATACTCTCCCCAAGAAAAATGCATGTAAAAATGCAAGAAAAATAACATTTTTACCTCACTTATTTGGGGAAGAGGAGGGTTCTTCACTGACTCATTTAAGCAGGTCTGTTGATCCTGGCTTGAGCTCAGTATTTGGTTCGTATTTTTAAAATGATGCCAGTGTCATCAGAAGTCATTATAATAGCTCTACGGAATGATTAATTTTAAAAAGTTCCTAGCCAATAGCTTGAGCTTTTCATTGTGTAGAGATTTTCAACCCTTTCTAACCCATGTTGGAGACAGGAAGACAGTGGATGGCAGAAGGATATTCCTATAGCATAAGACTGGTCCATACTGATTTTAATCTCTCCCACAACCAAATAGACCATGTGGTTCCTGCTCTGTCATAGATTTAAACTGAATAAGCAGAATAAAATCAATTTTAAATAAGCTAATCATTTGTACTTTGTTTTTTCAGCAAGGAAAATGTTCCGGGATCAGAAAGAGTAGAAGATGAAAAACAAATGGTGATAAGCAGCAGCAGTGAGTGCAATCCCCTGCTGCAAGAACCCATCGCCTCTGCTCAGTGTGGTGGTGCTGAAATGACAGAATGCCATAAGTCTGTCCCATGTGGATGGGAAAGAGTTGTGAAGCAAAGGTTATCTGGAAAAACAGCCGGAAGATATGATGTATATTTTATCAGGTGAGCATGCAAAGTGGTAAAGATAGTGCAGCCAAATAATTTTGTTTAAACAGGTAGTGGGAAAGCATAGCAGGTATCTTGACTTTTTTCTATTATTACCATAAAACCATTATGGATTCTATTCCTTCAGTGTCACTGGTTAGTTTTATCAGATGATTTAGGGACAAATACATTTTCTCCTACTGTGAATGGTTAATGATAAAGTTGCACTTAAGTTATATTTGTAAAATTATTTTATAGAATCATATTCTCCTCATTGAGGAAACTATTTAAAAATACCATTTTATCAATATTTTTATTTTAAGTGACAAATACCCCTGGCAACATTTGGAAATTATTAATTAAGCATCTGAAATGTGGTCTGGTTCTTTTTAAAAGTCACTTTTATTTACTATCAATGTTTCCTTTAATATCATTTTTAGCCCACAAGGACTGAAGTTCAGATCCAAAAGTTCACTTGCTAATTATCTTCACAAAAATGAAGAGACGTCTCTTAAACCAGACGACTTTGATTTTACTGTACTGTCTAAAAGAGGCATCAAGTCAAAATATAAAGACTGCAGTACGGCAGCTCTGACATCCCAACTGCAAAATGAAAGCAGCATTTCAAACCGGAACCTCAGGACAAGAAGCAGGTGGAAAAAGGATGTGTTTCCTCTGCCAGGTGGTAGTTTGGAATCCCAAGATAGCAGGGAACTATCTAACTCCACTGCCATGCATTTGCTTTTGAAAGAAGGTGACGGTGTTACTGATGTTGACTCCAGAAAGGTTAGGAAGTCCAAAGGGAAGATGACTACTTTGAAAGGAATTCAAATTAAGAAAACTAAAACAGGGTGCCTGAAGAGTTTTCCAGATCCTGTTCAAAGTAAGAGAAAAAGAGAATCTGTGCATAATAAGGCAGAAGCTGAAAGTGAACCTGTTGCACAAGAAAGTCAGCTTGATAGAACTTTATGCATTTCTGATTCCAGAGCAAGCAACAGGACCATCAATATGACCAAGGAAGAAACGAGACTTGTAAAAGAAAAATCATTGAGTTCGGGATCAAATTTTAGTTTTGAACAAATAACTTCTGGCATCATAAACAAATTATGTTCGACCAAAGAAGCAGAACACAGGTGTGAGAATACCTTTTTAGAATCTGAGGAAATAACAAAAGTAGAAGTTGGGGAAAGGAAGGAACCTTTGCATGTTGACAGTTTAGAATGTGGCTCTGAAATGGACAGCAACTGCTCACAAACTGAGAAAGATTCCACTTCTGTGAAAATATGTCAAGGTACTTGGTGCATTTAAAGTGCTATTAAAAATGTGATGAGGCAGTTTATATTCCTGGATACTATATTTCATGCCTGTAACCGGTTAAGATGTGGGAGTAGAATGAAGAAGTTGGGCCAAAAATCAGATACATTCTACCAATTGATCCTAGTACCTTGTCTAACTGATCTTCAAACCCCTTCCTATGGCAGAGGGAATTAGCTGGCTACTGCCTTTATGCCCCTAGTAAAGGAAAACTGTGCCGTTAACAGCTGCTAACATCTCTCCCTGGTGCAGCTGCTCGGACTCTGAACAGTGCTTTCCCTTCTTCCCATCTTTCCAGCCAGTAATCTTACAACTTGAGGGAAATGAAAAGGCTTCACACGGAAAAGGAAGACTGCTTTGATATATAAATTGGCTGGGAATACTTATTACAGATGTGTGACTTCCAATTCAAGTTTGTATCTATCATAATCATTTTTATCATCTATGATGATGTAATGCTTCTCTAAACTGTTTTAGAGCTCTAAATAATTCAAAACTGTACTTACATAGTTCATCTATTATTCGTAGTACAGAGTTTAGAGCTGAGGACTTTTGCCTTTATAATACCTCAGTGAATAAGAAATAAAAAGGAGACCATTTGAGCACCCTGATATTAGTTATTCATTAAGCCATTATGGTATAATGAATAACTCCTTTAAAGAACAATAGTAATTTTACTTAAACCCTGCAGGAGACAGCCTGGACAAATTTGTGGAGCAGGGGATTAGACTTTATTCCTGCTGTCAGGCCCACTCATGATTTTATGTCTTTGCGGTATCTGGAATTTTTCCACCTTTAACAGAAGATGGCCAAATATACCTAGGACCTGCGTAAGAATTCTTCACGTCTGTTCTTTAAAGACTTTGAGTTTCTTAAACCTCTAACTTTTTTTTTTTTTTTTTACTTTCTACTAGGCTTTGCCTTTTTAAACTAGAAAGGCAAAAGACCCTAGACTAATTATCTGAAAACTGGGATACTTGGCCCAGTCTCCAGTTAGTCTCACTGTCATTTTGGAATGGTTGCTTAATTTCTAAGTCATAGTTTCATCATCTGTAAAATGGAAGTAGTAACCCTTACTAGTGCTGTTTTTCATATCAAGAATATTGTAAAGTAAAATGAGAAGTGAAAAAGATGGCTTCACGCTATGCAAATACAAGGTAGTATTAACTGACATTCAAATTTAAAGGCTATGGCTAAAGGGAGTATTAAATGTGATGATTTTTTGAAATGGGAAGCCTGATAACACTTGTCAAATAGTCTTTGGTAAATTAACTGAACTTCCCAGAGGATAGTGGTCGTAGGTTTTTCTACAGGTTCTGTTTGGTCTATATCCCCCGCCCCCCCCTCCCCCCGCCTTTTTTTTGGCAAGTGTAAAAATGTTCACTGCAGAATTTTTATTTTTTTATTTATTTATTTTTAATATATATATATATTTTATTGATTTTTCACAGAGAGAAAGGGAAACGTATAGAGAGTTAGAAACATCAATGAGAGAGAAACATCGATTCAGCTGCCTCCTGCACACCCCCTATTGGGGATGTGCCTGCAACCAAGGTACATGTCCTTGACCGGAATTGAACCTGGGACCCTTCTGTCCGCAGGCCGACGCTCTATCCACTGAGCCAAACCAGTTAGGGCACTGCAGAATTTTTAGAAAATTAAAGAAGAAAAGAAAAATTACCATTCAGAAACAACCATTATACCATTTTGGTTTATTTTATTCTAATGTCTGTAAATATGTATGTATGTGTGTGTGTGTGTGTGTGTGTGTGTGGTGTATGTATATATATATTATATACTCTTTAAAATTAAATTGGGGTCACATGTAGAATATTGCTTTTTTTTTCACGTGAAAGTTAAAGATGTAAGAAAATTTTAATGACATATTCTCAAAAATATTTTAATGACAACATTGTACAAAAGTGTCATAATTTAAAATATTCCATATTATTTCCAATGTTTCAATACTATGAACTCTGATCATAAGTTATAGAGAACTAATGTAACAGAGTCGTTAAAGGCCTGAACTCAGGAGTCAGACTATCTGGATTTGAATTTCAACTCTACTACTTACTTAACCTTGGGCAAGTTATTCAGCTTCTCTGTGCCTCAATTTCCATATCTATAGAGTGGAGATTAAATAGTCCTTTAACTCATAGGTCATTTGTAGGATTAAATTGATTAATTTTTGTAAAGTGTTTAGCATACTGCTTGGCAAACACCTAATGCTTTATAATAGTAGTTTTTATTGTTGTTGTTATTATTATTATTTGCATTCCTAAATATTTCTTTAGGCTAAACCATAGATTTTATAACCAACGTTCACTCTTCCTTTTCAGAAGACATCATCCCACGGACACAAGTAGAGAAAAGGAAAACAAGCCTATATTTTTCCAGCAAATACAACAAAGAAGGTATCCTTTCCCAATCAGAAAATCAGATTTTAAATCTATTTCAGATATCCAACTCTGATGCAGTGTGTTTGTTCAGCTCTTAGCCCCCCACGTCGCAAAGCCTTTAAGAAGTGGACACCTCCTCGGTCACCTTTTAATCTTGTCCAGGAAACACTTTTTCACGATCCATGGAAGCTCCTCATCGCGACGATATTTCTCAATCGCACCTCAGGTTTGTGGATTATTGTAACCTGTACCTTATTAGAGACAGCGTGATGAGAAAGAGCCCTGAATTGATTGGGAAGCCTGTGTTCCAGTTTGATTTTGAGTCTGTGTGACCTCAGGTAAAGGCCTTCCCCTTTCAGCCCTCAAGCTCTTCACCATGAGAATGTTAGACGAGCCTTTATAGCACTAAGGAGCAGATTGTCATTTATTTTCTACTTTCAGATTAGTTTGGGTCATCAATGAAAATCAATCACGTAACATCCCTTCATCCTTAGTCATGTATAAAAGCATTTTTTCATTGAATGCTTTTTGTTTTGTTTTGTTTTAAATATATTTTATTAATTTTTTACAGAGAGAAAGGGAGAGGGATAGTTAGAAACATCGATGAGAGAGAAACATCGATCAGCTGCCTCCTGCACACTTCCTACTAGGTATGTGCCCGCAACCAAGGGACATGTCCTTGGCTGGAATCGAACCTGGAACCCCTGAGTCCGCAGGCTAACGCTCTATCCACTGAGCCAAACCAGTTAGGACCATTGAATGCTTTTTTTAATGTCATTGACACCTTCTGTTCTATATGCTTTTACACTATTTATCTGATGCTTTGATTATGTAAAAACTAATACAGGTGTGGGCAAAAGTAGGTTTACAAATAACTCATACAATAAGTCTTATATAATAAAAGCCTAATATGCAAATTGTCCCCTCTGGCTGTCCTTGGACCAGGAGTTTGACCACTTGCTATGATGTGCGCTGACCACCAGGGGGCGGTCCAAAACATGGCATGCATCGGTGACCCAGACCTCGGGCGGGGGCTGCGACCTCTCACCAGCTACCGGGGTGCAGGGGTGACAGAGACAGAGGTGTGGTGAGAATGCAGGGTGTCCACCGAGCTTGCTCTCACTCCCCCTGCTGTTTTCCCCGGAACACCAGGGCTCACGCACACACCCAGGAACCCCAACTCCCCCCACGCCCCCTACCCCACGCTCAGGTACCAGGTGCCCACAAGGAACCTGCCCCACACCCATGCGGCCTCTGGGACCATGGACCGGTCAGGCTCCCCATGGGTTCACGCAGGAGCTGATCTGCAAGGCTGGCTGGGAGAGAGCACACTGCCTGCCCGGCTTCCCTGTGGCGCCGCCAGGCAGTCCAGAGGCCCACGCTGCGGCCCAAAGGCCCATGCTGCACCCACCGCATCTCTGCATGGGGACTCGGGCGCCGTGACTCAGGCAGAGGGGGGCACATGGGGGCCTAGGGGTCCAGGTGCTCCCCAGGGCCCAGAGGTCAGCTGGGATCTGCCCTTCCATGCCAGATGCTCGCACTTCGATCGCCGGCCAGGCCTAGGGACTGCACCCGTGGACAAATTTCGTACACTGGGCCTCTAGTTAGTAAATAAGAATACAAGAATAAACTGTTTCTCATACAACTACTTTTGCCCACCCCTGTATTATGTAGAGTCAGGTTTCAGCATAATCTGGACTGTTAACCAAATAGATTATTGGTGTTGGTTTTTCACTCTGAAAGTGGTTATTAGTTTAGGTAATGACTTCTCAATAATGGTATTTTTTAAAAAAAGGCTCTAGATGAGATTTCTAGTTGAGGAAGTACCTGAACATAAACTAGCCCATCTGGAGGCTTATAATCATAGTTAGTTATCTTTACATCCAGGTAAAATGGCAATTCCTGTGCTTTGGGAGTTTCTGGAGAAGTATCCTTCAGCTGAGGTAGCAAGAACTGCAGACTGGAGAGATGTGTCAGAACTTCTTAAACCTATTGGTCTCTACGAACTTCGAGCAAAAACCATTATCAAGTTCTCAGGTAATTTCCCATATACCCAAGAGAAAAACATAAACTGTGCCTCTATAAGAAAGCCACACCTTAAACTTTTATGTCCACGGATGCTACAGTAATAGAAGTCATTCAGCTCAAGCACCAAAGGCATTTAAAAACAGTTCACTTACCCCAAACCACAGTCACCCATCAACCCATGCAATAAATCTTTGCCCAGCCATGTGAGCATAATTAGAGGAAGAAGTCATTGAAGCAGGAAGCCCTCAGGAAAATACCTCTTTGAGTTAGCAAAATAATAATGGTCAGTAAGTGGCAGATGAGATATTCAGACAGATGCTTCTGGAACTCAGGAGAAAGAGCAATCACAACTGGGGTTGTTAGGAAAGATTCTTCCCTGTCCCTTTCTGCTATTCTCCCATCCAGTCCTCCATTACCACACATTTGGGGAAAGTATCTTTCTAGAGCCTGGTCTGATATGTGGGCTGTTATATTCTCAGATGAGTATCTGACGAAGCAGTGGAGATACCCAATTGAGCTTCATGGGATTGGCAAATACGGCAATGACTCCTACCGAATTTTTTGCATCAATGAGTGGAAGCAGGTGAGGTCCACTGGCAACAGAACATCTCTTGTTTCTGAGACAAAATAAGTCCACTATTATGACTAAAATTATTTCTTGGACAGGCGTGCTATTATAGTTCCAAACTTGAGGGGCAGTGGGTGTCATGCAGTTATTGGCAACAAGGAGAGGATCCATAGACACTCCCAAGTCCATAAAGACTCTTTGGTGTGACCTCTGACTGACCTCCAACAGTTTGTCATTTGGCCCTGTTCCTGTCATTACATTCATGTAATGTTTCTAAGCCTGATGTAGTTTTCTTCCTGTCGCAATCCTACGAGTCTTTAAAAGTACACCACAGGAAAGCAGGCAGGTTTGAGCTTGGAATGCTACTAGGGTTTCTCCTAATAGTCTCAAACTATTTTTGTGGTAACTGGATCCTACTTCAGCTGCCCATTCTATTTAGTTTGCCTAGCACATGGGCATGTGGGTGTGTACTGGCTGTTAGGCACTGCCAGGTAGCCTGCTACACTGCTTTCTTAGTCTGTGATCAGCTAGTAGGTCTGTCTGGCTAAGCCCATCCCTGCTCCATCATTTATTGTGACCTGAGCAATTCATTTAACTCTGAGTCAATAACCTCCTACTAGAAAATGGTGTATTATCCCTTGGTCATGTTATCACTACTTCATGCCCCAGGTTCTGGTGAAGATCAGTACTAAATTGGCGAGTACTTTATATACTGTAAAGTATTACCTTAATGTAAGATATCATTTTAAACATTTGTGAATCCAGTCAGGTTAAAGGTTGTAATTTCCAGGTATATTATCATAAAGTATGTTCTCCTACCATATATTTAAAAAGTCAATTTTATAAATGTATTTCTGACTAACTTATATAAGGCCTCTGTCTCATTTCTTACAGGTGCACCCTGAAGACCATAAGTTAAATAAATACCATGACTGGCTTTGGGAAAATCATGAAAAATTAAGTCTGTCTTAAAAACTCTGTGATGTTTTAAAACTCACTTTTTATATATTGCTTTGACTCTTCAGAGCTCCATTAAGCCAGCCAACTACGTTTCCAGGTATACAGGTTTTAATCGGCCCAACTAGAAACCCAATTCTTAATGTGTGTGTCACTGGTAGATCTTTACTATTGAACGTGCTATAACATGTTTTGAGATTTCTTTAAAAAATAAATTGTGATTTGACAACAATCCTAAAAATGTATATGACTTTTCCAATAGTAAAATGTGATTTGAAGATGAAAAAGAATTTTCTAAACTATCAATAATACAAAGCAAACTTCTACCCTGTTTGAGGAAAGATTAGACTTTCTATTCTCTTTCTATAAAAATGATATTATACAATTATTATATCAAGAAGTAATGAAAGAGCTGGGTAGCTCATTTGGTTAGAGTGTTGTCCCAATATGTCAAGGTTATGGGTTTTATCCCTAGTCAACAAGAATCAACTAATAATGCATAGATTGCATAGGTGAATGGAACAGGGAATAGATCAGTTTCTCTTTGTCTCTCTCTCTTTCCCCCTCCTCTCCATCTTCTTTCTCTCTAAAATAAATATTTTAAAAATAAAGTAATCAAAGAGTTTGTAGCCAAACATGTAAAAAGATAGTACAGTATGTATTAGGCAGTTAATTTTTTAAAAAATACGTTTACTGCCCTGGCCGGTGTGGCTCAGTTGGTTGGGTGTTGTCTTGTGCACCAAAAGGTTGCCAGTTTGATTTCCGGTCAGGGCACATGCCCAAGGTGCAGATTCTATCCCTGGTGGTATACAGGAGGCAGCTGATCATATTACACTCTCACATCAATGTTTCTCTCTCCCTCTCCCTCTGTGAAATATCAATAAACTATTCAAAAAATAATAAATGTTTACCAAAAACAGCTAACCCCCCAAAAGGAAAATAAGTCTTTTTTTGTCATCATGTGTTGGCATTTAGGAATTGGAGATTTGACCCCAGCATTAATTTGATAACCTGGTGTGAATATCTCCCATAATTCTATTTCAGAGTATCAGCTTGTAGCTCATGTATGTTACTTTGATCCCTTTGTGAAAACTCAAGCATTACCCGTCTTCCATCTTCCAGCTGGAGGACAGGTCTTTTAAGTTTTATGTAATTTTTAATACAGGTTTTATAATGTTATAGCTCAATACTGAAACATTTGCTTATAAAAGAACTCACCAAACAAAATAATCCTATTAGCAAGTCTCAATGAGCAAGTGCCATTTTAAGGTATGATTTGAAAATTAAATAGATCAAATAAATGAAAAAAGAAAGAAATTGTTAAGGCAACTACCTTTGTTGTAAGATGATGTGTGAATAGAATCAGAATGCAGTGTGTTGCAGGGCTAGTTGGTTGTTTCCATTTTAGTGAGCAAGTTTGTCTCTTGAGGGATGGATTTTGACCAGAGAACAGGGAAACTGGCCACACACACACCGAAGGCAAACATCACCTTCATAACTCCCCATAACATTTTTTATTTAATAATATCAAAGTAGCATTCACCAAGGGCAAAGCTCTGTGCTAGGGAGGGGTACAAAGATGAAAAGTCCCTTTAGAGGCCCTCACTGGGAACGAGAAAGGCACACACAATAATTAAGGGGAACATAAGAGGTAAGGTGTAGAGACAAGATGCCCAAATACTGCAGCTAAGAGAATAGAGAGGCCTCTGAAACCCTGGGCCACAGCTGGGGTTGGAGGGCAGGGAGGGCAAGCTCAGCAAGCTTAGGGCATCAGGTGTGGCAGGGCCTGCTGTCAAATTCCCTCCCCCAGAACCTCCATCAGGAGTGCCACAGCCAGGCCTGCATGTGAGGTTGCCTGACCTCTGTACCTGCTTCCTAATCTCTTCAGAATGGGATTGTGGTGCCTATAATTTTTAAGTTAGTACATGTAAGTGTTTAAATGGAGCCTTACAAAAGTGCTAATTAATGTGGCCCGTAGGGATGATCTGAGTGTCTACCTCAGGTTTTGGAGAGTCACAAAAATAATGCACTTCAGTGAAGGTGGTACTTTACCCAGAAAAAGCACTCAAGAACATTCCCATCACCCCCAAAAGTAACCCTGTACCTGTTAGCAGTCAACCCAATGCCCCCACCACTACCACCGTGGGCCTCTGGTAACCACTAATTTGCTTTCTGTGTCTTTAAGCTTGCCTAGTCTAGGAATTTCTTATAAATTGAATTAGATATGGCCTTTTGTGTGTGGCTTCTTAGCACAATGTCTTCATTCATTTATGTTGCCCTGGCCGGTTTGGCTCCCGGTTTCAATTCTGGCCAAGGGCATATGCCCGGGGTTGCAGGCTCAATCCCCAGTGTGGGGTGTGTGGGAGGCAGCCAATCAATGATTCTCTCTCATCATTGATGTTTCTATCTCTTGCCCACTCTCTTCCTCTCTGAAATCAATAAAAATATATTTTTTAAAAATTTTAATTAAAAGATTCATCTATGTTGCAGCATGATGCGACACCACTACTTCATTTCTTTTCATGACTAAACATTTCACTGTATGGATAGATCACATTTAGTTCATCCAGTTATTAGGTGATGGGCATTTCAAATATTTATTATTAATACTCCAGTTCTTGGATTCTGTAATTCCCAACCGCATCATGCTGTTTTGCAGGGGCAAAGCATATAAAAAAGAGCTGCCTCTATATGCCACGGCTCATATGGGTTCCTACAACAGGGCCTGTTCTTTGGATGAGAACACTGAGATGGAAAAATGGAGACCTGAAGATCCCACGGTTTATTGGAAAACCAGGGATTTATTATCACTCCAGATTCAGGGGCCACTGGGTCAAACTAAGAAATCTTGCCTTTCGCCGAGCCAGGAACTCTCCACCGCTACTGTTTCCTTGCGCCCCTCCCCGGACGGACGGACGGGTGAAAAGAATCGAAGCCACAGGATCTCCATCCCCCACAAGCGCAAGTCCGCTCCCTGCTCTCAGACGCCTCCAGGGCATGGCAGTGGCAGCGTTCAGCCAACCGGCGCGGGGCATCCGTAGTCCTGGCAACAGACTGTTTCATGCCCTGCGAGTCTCAACTCTCTCGCAAAACTTAAAATGACTGTTTTTTTCAGAAATCTCGACACTCCCGCGAAAGCAAGGGATGGCGTGCGCGCGTGCACGCACATACACGTGCACACACACGCGCACACATACACAGATCTTCCTCTCTTCAGCGTCCACAACCATGGACTATTCCTATGAAAAGTTTGAGGCCTTTCCCCCCAGTCGATGCTCCGTAAGCTCCCGCTCCCGGGAAGCAGCGCCGCCCCCAGGAAGCTCTCAGCCCAGGCGGACGTGTGCAAGTGTAGTGAGAGCAAGGACAGGAGGTGCATAACTTATTGTGCCGTCCCCCTCTGGGGGAGGGGTTACCAGGGAGTCGAGGGTGGGTCATACACATTTCTCAGATTTCCATGCCTGGGCTGGAGGAGTGGGTCAAGTTGCCTTGATTTAGAAACCAGAAGCCCAACCCAGTATGCCTGGGAAAGGTATCCAGGCCCAGGCTCACCCCATTTCTTCACTGGACATTAATGCGCTTGGTGCCGGAGTAGAAGCATGAAGGTTGTCAGTGGTCAAACTTTTGACAATAGCCTGCTGTGGGACCAGTCCTGGGCCAAGCCCTACAACATCAGAGGTGAAGGACAGATAAACAGATGATTACAGAACAAAGAGTGAATGCTGGGCCAGGGCCACATCCAGGAGTAAGAGGTTTGCTAAGTATAAAGGATGGGGAGGAACAGTTGCAAGGTCCTAGAAGAGATCTTTACATTGGAGCTTAATCAGGAGTTCTCCAAGCCAAAAGGGGGAGAAAAGGCATTCCAGGCCTAGGGAACAGCATGCACAGAGACCTGAGACATGGTGTCTTCAGAAAATTGCTGATAGTTTGAGTGTTCCTGGAGGTGAGAGGCAAGAGAGGTCAGAAGGGATAAGATCATGAAAGATCTTGTGAGCAAAGAGATGGAGAAGCCACTGGGAATGGTCAGACTGAATTGGCAGACGCAGAATGTTGGGAGTGGGGGTACTGGGAGGTGAGGAAGAGAGGCCAGACCAGAGAGGGTACTATAGGAACTTGGGGGCTGATCAGATGAGGAACATGAAAAGAGCAATCAAAATGATGCTCAGGCTGGTAATTAGGATGACCTGGTAGATAGAGGTGCCTTTCACAGAGATAGGGAAGCTACCGGGAGGACCAGATTAAGTGGGGACAGGGACATGGAGACAAGTTTAGTCTTATTTGGTTGAGTTTGAGACCCTTGTAAACCATCAAAGTGGAGATGCTTTAGGAGCAACTGTATGTAGAAAACTGGAGATAATTCTAAGTCATAAATATTGGTATGCTTGTCCTCAGCATATAGAAGGCTATAGAAACACAGAGTGAAGGAGATTGGTTTAAAAAAGAAGAGAGCCCTAGCCAGTGTGGCTCAATTGGTTGGAGCATCATCCATGCATCAGAAAATCTCTGGTTCAATTCCCAGTCAGGACATATACAGAGGTTGCAGGTTTGCCTTGGTTTGGCACATATGGGAGGCAACCGATCAATGGTGTGTCTCTCTCATATCAATGTTTCTCTCTCTCTCACCCTCCCTCCATATTTAAAAAAAAAACAAACAATTAAAAAAAAAGAAAGAAGAAGAGAGCCTGGGTGTAAGCTTGGAAGACACCAACTTTTAAAGGCTGGATAGGAAAAGAGGGGCCCAAGAACAAGTGGCCAGAGACATAGGATGAAATTTAGGAAGAGATTTGAATCAGATCCAAAGGAAAAAGGGAGAATTTTTAAAAGTTGAATTGTTTCCAGACACCTGAGGGGCTGGCTATCCCAGAGAAAGAGCGAACAACTGTGTTTCCTGAGGCATCAGTGGGGAGGACTAGGCTCAAAGGGTAGAAATTCCAGGGAAACAAATTCTGGGTCAATATAAGGAAGCCTTTTCTAGCAGGCAGAATTAGGCATTCCCAAAGTTAAGCAGGGAACTCCCTGTCACCGGAAGTATACAGAGGCAAAGTATGCCAGGGGATTATAGAAAGAGTACCTTGCCCGGCCAGTGTGGCTAAGTAGTTGAGCATTGACCTATGAACTAGGTCATGGTTCGATTCCCGGTCAGGGTACCTGCCTGGGTTGTGGGCTTGATCCCCAATAGGGGCTGTGCAGGAGGCAGCTGATAAATGATTCTCATCATTGCTGTTTCTCTCTCTTTCCCTCTCTCTTCTTCTCTGAAATCAATAAAAATGTTTTTTAATATATTTTATTGATTTTTTACAGAGAAAGGAAGGGAGAAAGAGAGTTAGAAATATCGATGAGAGAGAAACATCAATCAGCTGCCTCCTGCACACCCCCTACTGGGGATGTGCCTGCAACCAAGGTACATGCCCTTGAAAGAATCAAACCTGGGACCCTTCAGTCCACAGGCTGATGCTCTGTCCACTGAGCCAAACTGGTCAGGGCAATAAAAATATTTTTTTAAGAAAAAAAGAGTTCCCTGACCTGGGTAGAAAATGGAACTGATTAGCCTTTGAGAACTTTCCTCCTCAGTCTCTCGGGAACATTTTCACAGTGCCTACATACAACTACATAGTGACTTATCTCTCTATAATAATACCAGTAAAGGCATAATATGCTAATTAGACTGGATGTCCTTCCGGACAACCTTCCAGATGAAGCCAGAGCTGCAAGGGAAGCCCAGGACCCAGCGGCTGGAGGGAAGCCAGTGCTGGCAGCCAGGGGAAGGAAGGCCTATTCTTGCACGACTTTCATGCATCGGGCCTCTAGTCCTATCTAATAAAAGAGAAACATGGTAATTAGCCGTACATCTGCTACCCTTCCCATTGGCTAATCAGGGCGATCTGTAAATTAACCTCCAGCCAAGATGGCGGCCGGCAGCCAGGCAGCTTGAAGCGAACATGAGGCTTGCTTGCTTCAGTGACAGAGGACTCCAACGTTCCCCGCCTGCCGCTGCCAGCCTCTGAGCTTGCAGTTTGAAACATTGTTACAAATTTAGAAGCTAAACAAAACCCCAGAAACCTGCTTTCAGCTGGCCAGGGATCTCAGAGCTGGAGTTGATACAGTGTTTCGCTTATAGAACCCAAACAAACCAGATACCTGCTTTCAGCAGCCGAAGCCTCAGAGCTGGAGCCAGAGCTAAAGCTGGCCCAGAATAAAAAAAAAAAGAAAGAAAAAAAGGAGCAGTTGGGAGCTTCAGTCACCCGCCAGCCTGAAAACAGCCCTCAGCGCCTCACCCAGACTGGCAAGACACCCCAGTGGGGACCCCCACCCTGAAGGGTATGTGACTAGCTGCAAACAGCCATCATCCCCTCACCCAGGCTGGCCAGGCACCCCAGTGGGGACCCCCACCCTGATCCAGGACACCCTTCAGGGCAAACCAGCCGGCCCCCACCCATGCACCAGGCCTCTATCCTATATAGTAAAAGGGTAATATGCCTCCCAGCACTGGGATCAGCGGAGCCGAGAGGCCTCCCGGCACCAGGATCATGTGACAGGGGCAGTGTCCAAACCCCCTGATCGCCCTGCGGCTCTGTGTGTGACAGCAGGTGGGGCCACAACCTCCCTATCCGCCCTGCTCTGTTCATGACAGGGGAAAGCGCCCCAACCCCCTAATCAGCCCTGCTCTGTGCCTGATAGGGGGGAGCTCCCCAACCCCCTGATGGCCCTGCGGCTCTGTGTGTAACAGGGTGCAGCGCCCCAACCCCCCGCCCCCCCACAGGCCCTGTTCTGTGTGTGATGGGGTAAAGCCATAACCTCCCCATCAGCCCTGCCCTGAGTGTGAGAGTGGTGGCACCCCAAACCCCTGATCAGCCCTGCTCTGTGGGTGATAGAGGGCGGCACCCCAACTCCCTGATCCGCCCTGCTCTGTGTGTGACAGGGGGCGGTGCCCCAACTCCCCTATCGACCCTACTCTGTGAGTGACAGGGGGTGCTCCCCAACCCCCTGATTGACCCTGCTCTGTGCATGACAGGGTACGGAGCCGCAACCCCTCCTGATGGGCCCTGCTCTGTGCATGACAGGGGGCAGCGCCCCAACCACCTGATGGGCCCTGCTCTGTGCATGACAGGGGGCAGCCCCCCAACCCCCTGGTTGGCCCTGCTCTGTGTGTGACAGGGGGTGGTGCCACAACCTCCCCATCGACCCTGCCTTGAGTGTGACAGGGGGCGGTGCCCCAACCCCCTAATCGGCCCTACCCTGAGCGTGACTGAGGGTGGCATCGCAACCTCCCAATCCGCCCTGCTCTGTGCATGACAGGGAGCGGCGCCCCAACTCCCCAATCGGCCCTGCTCTGAGCCCGACCAGGGGCTGCACCTAGGGATTGGGCCTGCCCTCTGCCACCCGGGAGCAGGCCTAAGCCAGCAGGTCGTTATCTCCTGAGGGGTCCCAGACTGCGGGAGGGCACATGCCAGGCTGTGGGACCCCCCCCTCCCCACCGAGTGCACAAATTTTTGTGCACTGGGCCTCTAGTATATATATAAAAGACTAAGTGACCGTTATGACTGATCGACCCAAACAACTGTTCGACCAGTCGATATGATGCACACTGACCACCAGGGGGAAGACGCTCAACACAGGAGGTGCCCCCTGGTAGTCAGTGCACTCCCACAGCCAATCTCCCATGGCTCCTTCCTTCCTGTCCCCGCCCCCCCCCCCCCCGATGGTCAACCTCCCGCAGCCCTCCTACTGCTGGCCAGCCCCCCCATAGCCCTGATTGGGAGGCTGGCCAACTTCCTGCAGTCCCTAACCCTGCTGGCCAACCCCTCCATAGGCCCTGATTGGGGGGCCAGTCAACCTCCCGGGGTCTCTCCTGTGGGCAGCCGGCCCCCCAATAGGCCTTGATCACCGGCCAGGCCAAGGGACCCCACCCATGCATGAATTATTGCACTGGGCCTCTAGTTTTATTATAAGAGCCCTCCTCACTTTCTTATCAATGGACAGAGGACCTAAAAGATCACTAGATTGCAAGCTCTATGGTGTGGTAAGAGGGTGGTAGGAGTGACTTTGGGTGGGGATGACTTGGGCTGAGAACTATATGCTGAGAAGGACTCATCCCTGTGGGAAACTTAGGGAATTCTATGCTCTTCAGAAGGCACAGCAAATGCCAAAACTAAGAACAAAGACAGAGCTAGGAAAATTGAACAAATAGGAAGAAGGCCAGTATAGCTGGACCAAGTAATCAAGGGAGAAGGGAGTGGGAGGAGACGAGGAAGGAGAGGGGAGCAGGACCAGCAAGGATAGTTTTACGGGACATTGTTAGAAGGGAGGTGTTTATTCTAAGAGCACTGAAAAGCTGTTACTAAAGCCATTGGAGGGTTTCAGATGGGGGAGTGACTCTTCTGTTGTAGACCATAGATTTGGGGGTCTAGGAAGGGCACAAGTGGAAGTAGCGAGAGCAGTGAGGAGCATATTTTAAATGTGTCCCCATGGTCTGCAAGGTAAAGTTTAAACCCCTTTGCCTGGCATTAGAGATGACTCCAACTTTATTCTCATTAACCTCCTCCTTCACACACAATGTGCTTCCAACTTGTGAAAATGTTGAGTAACCCTGAAATCCCCAAATCCCACCCCACCCCCTGCAATGTTGCCCACATCTGTCCCTCTACCCCTTAAAACCAGACTCATTCTCGAAGGTGCATGTCTGTCCCCCCTCCATGATGGGTCTCTCCTTCTGTACTTCTCCCCTGGCTGAGAGTATCTCATTATCCCTCTGGCTACCCTACCTTGTTCTGTGCCAGTGTACTGTAGTTGGGCACCCAGCCTTGTTTGGATCTGCACCAGGCCAGTGCCACGCCCTGGGTGATTCTCAGTAAAAGCTGATTTGACGAATGACTAAATTCTCAGTAGTACTCAGCATCTTGTCCTCAAAGAAATGATAAGTGGGTTGTTGAGAAGCACTCATTTATGTCCACATTGATGTGCACTCATTGTTTTCTGACTACAAAAGGAACACATGGGCATGTAAAGAGACTTTAACAAATGTGTTGCATGTTCATTTTGTGTCAGACTGGACACTGGGAACACATGGGAACTAAGACACAGTCCTTGTCACTGAGAAACTCACAGGCTGTTGGGAAGGAAAAACTCAGAACGCATCTTTATCCAGAAAAAAAAATGGTCAATGCAATGATGGGGCTAAGCATGGGGCTGTGGCAAACTAGAGGGGACACGAGGAAGGGATTGGAAAGGCTTCAGGGGATGACGATGCCTTAGCTGACTCTGGAAGGATCAGTACAAAACAATCAAGTGAAACAGGGACAGGAGAAGAGCATTCCAGAGGGAGGAAACAGCATGGTTTTGGGGGGAGTAGGAAGGGGTACCTGAGGAACCACAGTCAGATACAGTTTGAATATAAATACATGGTGAGGCAGAAGGAACAAGTGAAGGAGAAATTAGAGAGGCCAGTAGGGCTGGGTTGGGCTGGGTTGGACAGGTGGGGTCAGGTTTAAAATATTGAACGTTATTCTGGAAGCTAGTTGGCAGTAATGGAAGGGCTGTAAGCAGAAGAGTTTTGGTTTTAGAAGAAAAATTATAGTGACAATGTTTTTAATAATGCTATATCTCTTCTGAATTTAAGAACACTCCCATATGCATTTGATCTTCAAAACAGCTTTGTGAGGTACTTAGAGCAGAGTTTATATCATTTTAGGCATAAAAAAAAATGGAAACTTGGCAGAAATCAGTGACCACCTTGGGATAATGGCTAAGAGCACAGCTCTGGGGCCAGGCAAACCAGAGTTCATGTCCTAGCTCTGCTACTTATCATCTGTGTGACCTTGGGCCTTAGTGTCCTTATCTGTAAAATGAGTATAGAACCAACCTGTTAGTCTGTCCATTTGTCATTCACTCATTCACCAAATACTTACTGAGCTCCCACTTGGCCCTGTGGAGGTGCTGGGCTTGAGAGGTGAGGGAGCAAGAGAGATGAGGCCCTGATTCACAATCTATTAAAACAACAATGACATCAACCAGTTGGACCAGGAGAGTCAAACACAAAGGTCTGCCTGAACAAGACACATGAAAAAGAATTGATCTGCGTGTGAGACAACAGGGAATGGTGGAGACCATGGCAAGCTGGAGAGGGCATGCCCCAGCCTAAAGTAACTCAAATCGGAAAATTTTAAAGAATGTCAAATAAAAGAAGACCCCAAGCTCATTAAGCATGAGGGCTGCCAGTGCAACCCTTCATTTACATACTTGTGATAAGTGGTCCCGAAGGAAAAGTATGGGTTGTGTTATGCAGAGATAACATGAGGATATACGAGAGCCTGGGAGCCGGAGAGGTAACATTTGGTCTGAGATCTGGAGGATGAGGAGGAGTGAAGAGGGGATGGATGGGGGAAGGAGAATTCCTGCCCGAGGGAACAGCATGTGCAAAACCCTTGGGCAGGAAGAGGCTTAGATCATTCATAGAAGCCAAGGTCTCTGGGACATAGTAAGGAAAGCTGAGCAAGTAATGAGGCAGGAAAGGTTGGCAGAGAAGGGTCATGGGACCTTACTTTGGAAAGTCGTGGAAAGGTATCAACATGGCCGAAGGGTGAGTACATAAAAAAAAAAACAGCACGCTACTTTGAACAAAGCAACTCCAAAACGGACTGATCCCAAACATCTCCACCACTCAGTAAGTAGGTATCATCCCCAGTTTACACACGAAGAAACTGAGACACAGAGAGGCTCAGGAACTTGCCCAAGATCATGCTGTCAGAAGTGGCAGGGCCAGGGCCCAGGCCGGAGCATTCTGGCTTCAAGGCCTCTGCTCCTCACAGCACTGTGCGGCTTTGGACGGCCAGAGCGGTAAGAATGGCATTTGAAAAAGATCATTCTGATTGCCCGTGAGGAGTACCGGGGAGTGGAGTAAGAGTAGAATCTGAGCCCTAGCCGGTTTGGCTCAATGGCTAGAGCGTCGGCCTGTGGACCAAAGGGTCCCAGGTTTGATTCCGGTCAAGGGCACTTACCTTGGTTGCAGGCTCCCCGCGCCATCCCTCTCCCCGCCCAGGCTCTGGTTGGGGCTCATGCAGGAGGCAGCCAATCAATGTGTTTCTCTCATATCGATGTTTCTCTCTGTCTTTCCCTCTCTCTTCCACTTGCCCTAAAAATAAAAGGAAAATATCCTTGGGTGAGGATTAACAACAACAACAACAAAAGAGTAGAATCTGATGAGACAAATAAGAGAAAGCTCACAAAGCCCTTAGCATAGTGCCTGCGTTGGGAGTCACAGGTAATTGTCTTCATCATCATAGGAAGATGATGATAAAGCTGGGCATGGAAACCAGGTGCCCCGGGGCCCAGCCTGGTGCTAAAGAGTTTTCCCTTCCTGACTCCTTTAGTCCTCTTCCTGAAAGAAACTCACGTTTTAACGATCTTCCCCCAAGGATTCTGCCAGTCTCAGACCTCGACTAGTGATGAAGATGCCAGCAGGGGTCCCGTCTTCAACCCTGAACTGGTCATTGCCCACTGCTTCAAGCAGTTCAAGCAGAAGGACTTCCACCTGCCTCAAAGCCGCCGGCGGATCATCATCTTGCCTCGAAAGGAAGATGCAACCTCCGTCGTCAATCCAACACCACAGCCCCAGGCTCCCTCACAAATCATCCCCAGCTTCAAAGCCCTGGAAGCCAGGGACGTCCAAGAGCCCCCGGAGGATGTGAGAACCTGGATGAGCCAGAGGTTGAAATTTCGGCAGGAACTAGAGTCATGTGTCAACATAGACAAGTGGCTGCAAAACAAGTCCAGCCTCACGCCTTCAGAGGCCAAGATCTTACGCATGACCCACAAGGAGCATCCTGTGGCCCCGCTGATGGCCCACTTGATTCCTCCCAGCCCCACCAAGGTGAGCAGCCCCATTTGCCAGATGAGGGGATGAGGGGCAGGATGGGGATCATTCACCCCATTTCACAGAGCAGCAAACAGAAGTCCTTAAACAGAGGCGCATTAGTTATCTATTGCTGGGTAGCAAATACCCCAAAATGACTTAAAGCAGGAAGGGCTTATTTTCTCACTCTTCCTGCAAGTCAGGAATCTGGGAGGAGCTTAGCTTGGTGGCTCTCCCTCAGAGTCTTTTCATCTCAAGATGCTGGTGGGGGCCACAAACATCTGAAGCTTGACTAGGGTGGGAGGATTCGCTTCGAAGCAGTTTGCTCATGTGGCTGTTGGCAGGACACCTCAGTTCCTAGCCGCATGGACCTCTCCATGGGGCTGCCTGAGTGTCCTCACCACGTGGCAGCGGTGAATGGTCCAAGAGAAAACAAGGAGGGTGCAGTGCCTTCTAGAACCTGTCTCAGGAGGTCTCAGTTTCAGCACTGTTACCTCTCTGTTTGTCAGAAGCAAGTCACTAAGTATTGCCTCCACTGAGGGGAGGGGAATTAGTCTCCATCTCTGAGGGGAGGAGAGTTGAAGGATTTGGGGCTATATTTAAAAACCACCCCAGGAGAGAGAATGACTTTACAGTTTGCTACAGGCTGTGAATAGATGTGGGTCCCACCCCTCCTGGAGCACAGAGGAGCTGTAAGCTAGGGAACAGGAAGGCCCTTTGTAAACTGTCGGGTGCTGCAGCAAGGTAAGGCAGTGTTATTTCTAAATGTTCCCATTCACCTGGAATTGGAGGAGGAGGAGGATTGGACAGGTAGAGAAAGAAGGAAAGGCATTGACTCAGGCAGAAGGCCCAGCTGGAGCAAAGGCCGGAGGTGGGAGATCTAGCTCCAAGCAGAAGCACGTATTTTGGTGCACTGAGAGCCCGGTGGGATTGTAATAGTGACGGGTCTGACCAGAGAGATGCGGATAAGAATAAAATTCTAGCTCTCATATTGTTCAAGCCTCTTGTTTCTGATGGGAAATTGAGGCCCAGCAAAGCAAAGCCTCCCAGGAGTTCTGTGGCAGAATGCAATTGTCCTGCGGTTGCCTGAATCCAGTGTTCTATGCACTTCATCTTGCTGTCTGTTCAGAGCTGCTCAGCCTCTCCCTCTCCCATTTCTCCCTAACTCCGGGGATCATGTTTCATTGGCCTGTCTCCCCTGAACTCTCCCTTCTGTCCCACTTGCTTTCCTCGTGCAGAAGAAAATCCTCCGATCATTCCACCAACCGATACCCCAGCTCCGACTGCCCAAGCCCTCTGCCCTGTTTGTCTTGTACTCCTACCTGCGCAGCCACAATATGAAGATCCTGGATATATTTGCCAGGGTGGAACAGAGCAATAACCAGGCGATCTCCAGGGAGCTGTTCATTATGGCTCTGAAGGTGGTAAGTACCTCCCGTGCTCCTTCTAGGCTGGCCTAAGTGGGGAGGGTGTCCATGCTGCCACCCCCGACCCTGGACCAAGTGAAAAGGAAACTCCGGGAACTCAAACTATCAGTCTTATCACTTGTAAAGCCAGATGGGAAAATGCGGTTTAACCTGCAGCCACATCAGACCCCTAAAACCACCCTGCACTGGTCTGACCTTGAAAGTCTGAGTGGAAAGTCTGCAAAGCTGGCCCCATAATCAGCCAGCTGCCCATCCTTGCCCTGAATTGAGCACTGAGATTGCTGGGCCTTCAGTCCTGCATCTAGAACCTTCTAGAGCTTTTCCAACTGTCACTGGCATATGAATCACATAGTTTTATGAAAATGCAGCTTCTGTTTGACCCAGTGATCCCACTTCTAGGACTATATCCCAAGAAACCAGAAACACCAATCAGAAAGGATATATGCACCCCTATGTTCATAGCAGCACAATTCACCATAGCTAAGATTTGGAAACAGCCTAAGTGCCCATCAGCAGATGAGTGGATTAAAAAACTGTGATACATCTACACAATGGAATACCATATCACTATAAAAAAGAAGGAACTTTTACCATTTGCAACAGCATGAATGGAATTGGAGAACATTATGCTAAGTGAAATAAGCCAGTCGGAGAAAATAAATATCACATGATCTCACTCATATGTGGGATATACTGATCAACATAATTTGATGAACAAGAATAGATCCAGGGACAAATGGTAGGGGAGGAGGGGTTAGAAAGCAACCAAAGGACTTGTATGCATGTATATTAACATAACTAGTGGACACAGACGCTGGGGCGGTGGGGGCTTGCCTGGGGTGGGAATGGCTGGGGGGAGAGGGGTCAATTGGGGAAAAAGAAGACATATGTAAAACTTTAGACAATAAAAAAAAAATTACTAAAAGAAAAAAAAGCAGCTTCTGACTCAGTATCTCTGTGCAGCTCCCAGTGATACCCTTGGTACTGGACCACAATTTCACTGGCTATTCCAAATGTAAATTAATTATAAATAAAATGAAAAGTCCAGTCCCTCAGCCACACCAGCTACATTTTGAGTTCTCAATAGTCGCATGTGGTAAGCAGTTCCTCTACTGCAACACACAGATTGAGATCATTTCCATCATTAAAGAAGGTTCTGTTGGTTGTGCAGGGGCCTGCTAACTATGGCCCTGGAGTCAACTCCAGCCTGCTCCCTGTTTTTGTAAATAAAGTGCTACTGGAACACAGCCACACTCAGTCATCTATGGATTGTCAAGGCTGCTTTCATGCTATGACGGCAGAGTTGAGTGCTTATGACGGAGACCATATGGCTCATGGAGCCTAAATATTTACTATCTGGCACTCTACAGAAAAAGTTTGCTGAATTAAGTTTTTATATACTTCAAATACAAGGTTCCTTATAAAATAATTCTAGAAAGCTGATGCCACACCTTTTATGATTTTAAATCATCCCAGTTTTCACATCATCATTTTTTGACATGTACTTATCTGAACATTTCAAAGCATTGAAAACAAAAAAAAGATAAATTGTTTTTCATCATAACCAAGATGACAAAACATTAAATCTTTTCATACTTGGAGAGTTTTGATCTGCTTTATAAAAAAGCTCAGTAACAATGACTGCTATCTAAAGAAGCTGAAGAACAAAATTATATTCCTTTTAAAATGTTTCTTCTTGAATATTTGCTAGGCTGGCAAGCACTGTGCTCCTGCAAAGTTGCTCATTCCTTAAAAGAGTGATATGTATCATATTTTTGATCCTATTTACCCTCAGTTAAGGGAGGCTTATGTGTCCCTCATGGGCAAGAATGATAGACATGTGAAATCCTTCTTCAAATCTATCATAGGAAAGCTGGCATTGGGATTGGTAAGAAGTCAGGTGGGAGCCCAGAGTAGGATGTAACAGATTCTGCAAAGATGATGGCATATCTGGACTGGGTTTTGAAGAAGGGATAGAAGTTTTTCAGGCTTTGAAAGGGAGGCATTTGAGTAATGGGAAGGGTGAGAAATTGAGGGGTGTGTTTGCAGCCAGGAAAGGGCTCTGAGCTCTTGTGGCAGGGACCTTGGAGCTGGGAATGGCTGTAGATAAAACCAGACTAAAAGGTGGGGCCAGGCTGACAAGGCCTTGGCCATTCTGATAGGATATTTGGATCGGAGCCTGTCCAATTTGGGGCTTCTCTTCTCTCTTCAGCTTGAAGTCCCTCTGGGAAACCAGGAGATAGAGGATATTGTGATCTATCTCAGCTCTCTGGGGAAGCACAACAACATCACCATGGATAGCCTGAGCAACACCTACAAGCAGTGGTCCTTGGCTCAGCAGAAAAGCGTGCTGAGAACCACAAAGGATTGTAGGTATCCACCCCCACCCCCGTGCCTTCGCTTCCCCAGTCTTGGAGCAAGCACGGTAGAGGCAGCCTTGGCTCATTTCCTGAGTGTGTTCTCCAACTTTGGCTTACTGTAGGTAGGCCAAGCCTCTGGAATGTCCAGGCCCAGAGGCCAAACAAGTAGATATTTTCTGGAGTACCAAGCTACCTTGTCCATTAAAAGCTGGATGAGGCCCAGTCCTTATCCTTAAGGGATGGTCCTCAAAGGGTGGTTTCAGCCCACCAAAGCCCATTTGATAGGCTGAGAACCCAATGCCAAGCCCTTCTACTTGTATGTGGGTCCAAGGCCTTCTTACTACGATTCCCCACCTTGTTGATAAAAAGCTAACTAAATTCAGAAACCAGAATCAGCACATGTTCAGAGTCTACTTTGGTATTCTACTATCTGGACTGGGTTTTGAAGGAGGGATACGAGTTTTGCACAGATTGTGCACAGCTCTGGTTCCATTTGCCAAGCCATGGGCTTCGAGAGCCACATCTGTGTAGACGCACAGAGGCAAGTTAGAAGTGTACTTGCCATGGCTCTGGATATGAATTTACAACACAAGGGTGCATCATGCGTCTTTATAGGTTAGTTATTATATAAAAAAATTTTTGAACAGCTACAGATAATATTAAAGCCCTCCTTTAACCACCACCCACCATTCCAGAGCCCTCCCCAAACATAACCACATCTTTCTTTTTCTAAATGATGCAAATCTTGCTTTGCCCCCACCTTCCAGGTTGTCAGGAACTTAATTTCAGACACAGTTGAGGAGGAGAGGCTCCTCATCCTCCCCAAGGTCATGGAAGAACCCTAGCGGGGTAGTGGAAGGGGTTCCTTGCACAGGTGAAGATTTAGGCAGTGCCTCTGGAGTCCCCAGTCACACTGAGATGGGTGCTCAGTGTCCTCACTGGCTGGTTCTTTTGAGGACAGCAGGCAGTTCCTTAGAGCATCCATTCTTCAGTCCCCTGGAGTGTCACAGCACAGCACGCAGACTTCTGACCTCTAGTCTCAACAAGCTACTGGGCAGAGGCACCCTCACTCCCACCAAGTCCCAGGGAACCTGAGTTCCCCGATAGTTGCCTCCTGGGTCTCACCACCCCACAGCAGTAATCTCTCGCACCTTTCATGTCCAGCACACCATCAGGGTCGCCTTGAGTTGGGAGTGCTTTCCAACCCGTGCTCTCTTAGCCTTTTCATTATAAATCACCAAAGCTAATTGTTTTCCATGTAGTTGGCTGCAAGTCATTGAGTGAATGACCCCAGTGTGCCATGATACATATTTGCAGCAAAAGTATTTGGGGCCTATTATTTACCAACTAGAAGTCCAGTGCATGAAATTCATGCACTTGGGGGGGGGGGCTCCCTCAGCCCGGTCTGTGCCCTCTTGCAGTCCTGGAGCCCTCGGGGGATGTCCGACTGATGGCTTAGGCCCAATCCGGCAGTTGGATATTCTTAGCGGTGCCGTGGAGGCGGGGGAGGCTCCCACCATCGCCGCTGTGCCAGCCGTGAGCCTGGCTTCTGGCTGAGCGGTGCTCCCCGTCGGAGCACACTGACCACCAGGAGGCGGCTTCTGTGTTAAGCAGGATTGGGCCAAAACCAGTTCTCCAACATCCGCCAAGGGGTCCCAGACTGCAAGAGGGTGCAGGCTAGGCTAAGGGACCCCACAGGTGCACAATCAGGGCCGGGGAGTGATGTGGGAGGTTGGTCAGCCGGGGAGGGGCTGCAGGAGGGCTCCAGGGCATGTCCAGCCTATCTCGCTCAGTCCCAATTGGCTAGACCCCAGCAGCAAGCTAGCCTACCGGTTGGAGTGTTTGCCCCCTGGTGGTCAGTGCACGTCATAGCGACTGGTCGACTGCCCCTGGTGGTCAGTGCAAGTGGTTGAGTAGCCTTAGCATATCATTAGCATATTATGCTTTGATCGGTTAACAGACGATCAGATGACCAGACACTTAGCTTTTATTAGGCTTTTATTATATAGCATAAGTAGACTTGAAGCCAAGCAACAGGTATTTGCTTAAATGGTGCTATCACAGTTGTCATAGCTGAGTTCTCTTTCTCTGGAGAGCTGCAATAAGTAGGGTGAGCAGACTTGGGAGTCTCTTGCTTTGCCTAAAGGGGCAGCAGGGACAAGAGTCTGGGTCCTTGGCTCACAAGAGAGAAGGTGGTAGCATTTGGGGGCACCCTCTGTAAGCTGGGTAGCTTTACCTACAGCATTAGCTCAATTTATCTTTTAAGTCCCTGGACGACAGGGCTACTATTCATGCTTTTCAAGGAAGAAGCTAAAGCTCAGAGGGGCTGACCACTTGTCCACTTTTTTCAAACCAGAAGGTGGTAGGGCCTGGATTTCAGCCAGGGACGATGCAGGCCTTAACCAGGGCAGGGGCAATAGTATGTTCTGATTCATTTAGATCTTCATTGAACACCTACTATGTGCTAGAGCTAGACTCTTCTAGGAACTAGGGAGATAGCAGTGAAAAAGCCAACGCCCCTGCCTTCAATGAGTTTCCATGTAAAGGTTAACCAAGATGACGTTCAGTAGTGATTAATGCTTTGAAGACAATAGGATAGTGTGTGTGTGTGTGTGTGTGTGTGTGTGTGTGTGTGTGTGTGTGTGAGAGAGAGAGAGAGAGAGAGAGAGAGAGAGAGAGAGGAGGGGGGGTCAGGGAGGGCCTCTCTGAAAAGCAGCATCAGAGCTGACACTTGAGTGACTGACTGATGAGGAGCCAGCCTGGGGAAGGGCATCCTGAGCAGATGCAACTGCAGAGGCAAAGCCCTGAGACAGGAAAATCTTCAGGGGACAGAAAGAAATGGGGGGGGGGGGGATGGGTGGAGTGAGTGAGGCGTGGACAGTAGGAGATGGGCCAAGTGGACGAGGTAGATGGTTGGCTGAGGCCAAACCCTGCAAGGCCTTGCCGACCAAGGAGAGGATTCTGGGTTTTAGTGTAAGTGCTGTGTAAAGACAGGAGCGAGTTCTAAGCAGGGGAATGAAGGGATGTGATTTATATCTTTTAAAGGTCCTGTTTGCTGTTTGGTGAAAACAGGATGCTAGAGAATAAGAACCGAAACAGGAAGGCTGAGGCCATGGTACAGGTGAGGGAGGAGGCCATAGTGGAGATGGAGAGAAGGGGCTCCTTCAAGCTGTATCACAGATGGCACTGACTGGACACATGGATAGGAGCAGAGGGATGTTCTGGTGCTTGCGTGGTGACATTGGTTAACTGCTTGATGGATTCCATGGCTGGGCACCCTCTCAGTCCCTCCTTCATCTCTTCTCTCCAGACTATTTTAGGTCTTCCAAGCACAAAGCTTTGTCTCGGCAGCTGTCCAAGAAGCAGGTGAATTTAGCTCCAAAGGCTCCCAAGATGGACCTGCTGGCTGTGCCTGTGGTTGACACTCGGATGGAGGCAAGGCCCTTGAGCCTGGAGGAGATGGAAGACATCGGCAAGCGGTACCGGCAGAGGAAGCGACAGACCAAGGTACCCCAGCCAAAGTGGGAGGACACGGGGCAAATCCCCTGCACCTGCACCCCTTCTAGCTGCTGGGACTTGGGAGCAGATGCTTTACCTTTCTGTTCCCTCGTCTGGATAATAAGAACAATACCTACTTCACAAGATTTCTGTGAAAATGAAATGCGATAATGTTTCTGAAAGTATCAGGTTCCCCTCCTCCCATTCTTTGTTGTTGTTGTTAATCCTCACGTGCGGATACTTTTCCCATTACTTTTCAGAGAGAGTGGAAGAGAGGGAGGTGGGAGGGAAGAGAGGAATATTGATGCGAGAGAGACACACCAACTGCTTGTCTCCCCCATGTGCCCCGATGGGGGCAGGGAGAGAACCCAAAACCCAGTATGTGTCCTTGACAAGGAATCAAATCCAAGACCCTTTGATGCCCAGACTGGCACTCTAACCACTGAGACCACTGGCCAAGGCCTTTTTTTAGATAGATTCTTAAAGTTTTTTTTTATTGACTTCTGAGAGAGGGAGGGAGGAGAGGGAGCTAGAAACATCAATGATGAGAGCAAAACATCAGTCGGCTGCCTCCTGCATGCCCCCTACTGGGGACTGATCCTGAAACCTGGGCATGTGCCCTGACCTGGAATTGAAACACTACCTCCTGGTTCATGGGTCAACGCTGAACCACTGAGCAACACCAGCCGGGCCCATTCTTCTTCCTTTTTTTTTTTTTTTTTAGATTTTTAAATTGGTTTTTAGAGAGAGAGAAATATTGATGTGAAAGTGGAACATCGATCATCTGCCTCCTGCAAACCCCTTAATGGGGATCAAGCCTGAAACCCGGGCATGTGCTCTGACCAGGAATCTAATCAGCAAGCCTTCAGTGCCTGGAATGATGCCCAACCAACTTAGCCACACTGGCCAGGGCCCCTCCTCCCATTCTTTTTTTTTTTTTTTTTTTTTTTTAAATATATTTTATTGATTTTTCACAGAGAGGAAGGGAGAGAGATAGAGAGTTAGAAACATCGATGAGAGAGAAACATCGATCAGCTGCCTCCTGCACATCTCCCACTGGGGATGTGCCCGCAACCCAGGTACATGCCCTTGACCGGAATCGAACCCGGGACCTTTCAGTCCGCAAGCCGACGCTCTATCCACTGAGCCAAACCGGTTTCGGCCCATTCTTTAATTATGACTTTGCATCCTGAGACCAGGCCTGGGTATTCATCACAGTGGGAACCCAAGAGCCTGGCATGGGGTGTGGCCCTGAGTAGGCACTCCAGATATACATGACCAGTAACGGAAGGAAGAATTGATTGCCTGAATTAATTCAGCCAATGAATATTCATTGAGTCTGTGATGTACCAGACACTCTTCTACATGCTGCAGACAACAAAACAGCCCCTCAAGAAGCTGTCAGTCTAGAAAGTCTAGCCATGGAGGCAGACAATATTAATATAATACTACACATAGACACATATTTTAATGTCATTTATATAATAAAATGTTAGGTATTGGTAAATGCTATACTAACTAAGATCTGATTCAGTTGCATGACAAGAAAACCCAAAATGTTAGAGCAGTGAGTGGCAAACTTTCCTAGGGCCAGATAATAAATGTTTTAGGCTTCTTGGGCCCTATTGTCTCGCAACAAGTCAGCTCTGCCATTGGAGCACAAAAGCAGCCACAGACCTAAACAAATGAGTGCAGCTGTGTTTCAATAAAACTTCATTTCTAAAACCAGGTGGTGGCCCAGATTTGGCCTGTAAGATGTACTTTACTGATTCTGGCTTTAGGGGTTTTCAAAAGACATCGATTTTTCTTTCCTTGTAAATAAATAAATAAGGCGGCCAGAAGTGGCTACACACTGCCCAGGCGTCTTCGACCTCACTCTGCCATCCTTAACATGTGGCTTCCACCTCAAGTCACAGATGGCTGCACGTAATTTGAATTCTCATGCAGCTAAACCCTTGTATGTAACGTTTCAATAGGACGCATGTGGGGCATTTGCACTGTACCCTACCGTATATATGACACCAGCATGTGTGCACATCTGTACAACGGCCGCACGTGCTGACCATGTGTGATTTTTCTCCCCGGCCACTGACTTCAAAACCTGAACTTGGGTCCCATTCTTTGCCATTGCCCCTCATGGTGACCTTGTGTAGAAACACAGACTGTCAGCTTTCAGGCCAGGAGGAAAGAGGCAAGGTGAAGGGAAGTGTGCGCCAACTGCTTTTCTCTTTGCAGCTCACAATCCCCTCCATCCAGTACACGGAGCAGTGCCGCCTGGTGCGCAGTGGGAATAAGTATTTTGACAACCACTGCCTCCCGTCCACCATCCCCGGGGAGATGGGCGAGCTCATCAATCTGTTCCGAAGGGACACCTTTCTGCTCTACCTGAAGTGCCAGAAGGTCTGTCAGTACTATGGCCTCCCGCTGACGGAGGACATCCTCATAAAAGGTAAGGGCCTCCGTGGCTGGCCCCAGAAAGATGCCTCAGATGTTCGCCTGAGGTTTGCCCCTCCCCAGCTGACATGCACCCAGTCAAGCTGCTGTAACTTGTGGCGGGGGCATTACTGTTATACGGAGTTTTAGAGCCTGTAGCTCCACAAGTTCTACAAGGCTGGAGGTCTGGGCTCCCCGGATGAGCTTGGGGAGCTAGCTTTCTCGAGAGCAGGAGTTCCGAGCAAGGGAGCCCTGAAGTTGAGCATAAAGGAACAATCCCAGTTTCCAAGAGGGAGATTTGGTAGAAGTGACAACTGCTATGCTGTACTGGGTGTTTCCAACACCGCCTCCCTAGCCAGGCCCCCTGTGTGGTCCTTCTGCAGCACTGAGGTAGGAATGCACCAGGCAGGAGTCAGGTTCTGCTGAGGCCCTTTGCTCCCTGCTCAGACAACAGGACTCAACACCGAGACTTCCATACTGGTTCCACCCTGTGCTTGGGGGAAGAATTGTGTTTTCATACATCCAAACAGACCTGAACCCTCCACGCCTCCGAGTAGACTGTGTGCTTCTGAGCGATATTTCCATAATAACCGCAGAGCAATGCTGGCACCCCAAACTGATGATTTTGTAAATTTAATGGGCAGGTTCCTCTCTGTGCTTAAAAAACATGAACAGCAAGTTGCATGAGGGCAGAGGTTTTCCCGTAGGAACTTTGCAGAAGCTGTGGCCATATTGGGAGCTGGAAAATGAGGTTTACTGAGAAAGGGCACACAGGGAGACTTACCCAAGAACAAGAGTTAACAGTCACACCCTGACTGGGGAGCTCAGTGGGTTAGAGCAGCCGTGGGCAAACTACGGCCCGCAGGCCGGATCCGGCCCGTTTGAAATGAATAAAACTAAAAAAAAATAAGACCGTACCCTTTTATGTAATGATGTTTACTTTGAATTTATATTAGTTCACACAAACACTCCATCCATGCTTTTGTTCCGGCCCTCCGGTCCAGTTTAAGAACCCATTGCGGCCCTCGAGTCAAAAAGTTTGCCCACCCCTGGGTTAGAGCGTCATCCCCATACACCAAGGTCGTGGGTTTGTTCCCCAGTCAGGGCATATATAGGAGCCAATGAATGCATAAACAGGTGGAGCAGCAGATCCATCCATCTCTCTCTCTCTCTCTCTCTCTCTCTCTCTCTCTCTCTCTCTCTATCTCTACCTCTACCTCTATCTCTATCTCTATCTCTCTCTGTTCCTGTCAGCAGGCATCAAGCAACTACTGATTCTCTCCACTGCTGGCTTTTGCTAGCTCCCGGGTCTATGAGCTTCCCGTTGCCAGGATCTCACATTCATGGGTTCACAGGAGCATCTGTGGGTGGGCTTCCTCTTGCCTTTGACTGACTGAGATGGAAAAGACTCTAGTTCCATCTGTGACTAGAGCCGCTGTGGGGACACTGGGAAGAAGGAAGGGAGGGGAAGAACAGCTCAGCCTGCTTTGCTTTTAGGTGGGATTTCTAGAATACTCGATGGAGGTGCACAAGTCCCGCTGTCCTGGCCACTATCTGTTGGCTCTCTTTATGGCAGGGGCCTGCTCTGCTACAGACACAGAAGCACAAGCACTGAGATTTCCGAGTCTGTGTACTAGACTAGAATGTGGTGAGCTCAGACTCCAGGTCTCCTACTCCTGGGCCAGAATTCTAGAACACTGAGGCATTTGCCCTTTCCCCAGTGACTGACTATAGCTTCATTGTTTTTCTTCCCTTTTATTTTATAAATATTTGCTCACTTAAATTTTTTTGAAAACATAAAAATAAAAATCCCACTCCAGCCTGAGTGAACCACCATTAATATTTCGGTGATTGTCCTTTCACAAACTTATTTTTCTTTTCCATTTACACAAAATTATTTCTGTAAATCATATTCTAAAAATCATGTATGTATTTTTAATGTATTTTTAAAACCCTATATACCTTTTTTTTTTTTTTTTGGTAAGAGAACGTTTATTAGGTAAATTACAGAGGTAGAAAAAGTAATTCCTAGAAGAAACGGGCTTAGCAAGCAAGTCATAGAGGTAAAGGAAGGGCCCTTAGAGCTTGGCAGTGAGGAAGCTAGTGGAAAGATGCCTGGGCCGGGCTGGGGAGAGGGAGGGGAAGGGAAAGGTGAGAGTATGCTCCCTGGAGGGAAAGCACCCTATATACCTTTTTAAAGTGTTGGTGCTACATATGCCCTTCCCTCTTCTCCTTTCTCACCTGCACATCCCTGCCCTCCCCACAAATAACCAACATTAATAATCAGGAGTGTAACCTTCCCCTCATTTTTCTAGTATTTGAGGTCTTTGGATTTTACCAACTTTTTTTTTAATTATTGATTTTAGGGAGGGAGGGAGGGAGGGAGGGAGGGAGGGAGGGGGGGAGAGAGAGAGAGAGAGAGAGAGAGAGAGAGAGAGAGAGAGAGAGAGAGATTTGTTGCCCCACTTATTTATGCATTCATTGGTTACTCACTCCTTGTATGTGTCCTGACTGGGTATGGAACCAAAAACCTTGGCGTATCGGGATGACGTTCTAAATAACTGAGCTACTTATTGGGCCAGTTACCATCTTAGGACAAGCATTGCTCCACGGCTGCAGGAAGATGGAGACCCTGGCCTAGTGTTTTTAATGTACTGCACTTCTTCAAAAAGCCTACCAAGGCTTTTGTGCGACTAACTCTAGGTAAGGAGAAAACTGCCATCAACTAGGTCTAAGTTAACCTAGTGAAGCCTCAGGTAAATTCTCCATACACACCTCTTCCTAGGACTCCTGATGAGAACACCCCTGTAGAATGTGCGGCCTCATACTCTATCCTAATTACACCCCAGCCCCAGGGCCATTGCGAACCTGGTTATAAACTCCCTTAACTCTAGTCCAGTTAGCAGTATTTTACCAACTCCATTTTCTGATCTTGCAGTAGCTACAGGCATACCTTGGAGATACTGCATGTTCCGTTCCAGACCACTATAACAGAAGCAAGTATCCCAATAAAACAAGTCATAATCTTTTTACTGGTAGAGGGTTTTGCTTTCCATTTGTAAAAACAAAAAAAAAAAAGCACCACCTGTTAAGAGAGATAAAGCCAAATGCAATAAAACCAGGTATGCCTATATATGCCACGTCATGGTTGGAGGGTAAGAGACCCTCTGCACTATTTTTGCAATTTACTTTTAATCTATCATCATTTAAAATTTAAAAGTTAAACCATGTACATAAGAAAAATCTTTTTAAACAAAAATGTGACTTTATTATTTTTTTTAAAGACCCTTCTCTGCCACAAAACCTCAGGGGTGTGGGGTGGGGTGTTGGGCTGACAGGCCATGTTTCTCTTGCTGCTCACAGCCCTGCTGTACCCAGGGGACAAGATCATTTTCCAGAAGGACGAGGTGCGCCCCATCCGGCAGCCAGGAGGCTACTACGTGGACCTCCTCCTCAGCCCAACTGCAGCCCTGCTCAAGTCCCTGGGCTTCAAAGAGCTTGTGGCTAAGAAGACCAACAAGCTGAGTGTCAGACGCCCCCTCCCCCCACCTTCCCCTTTCCTTTTGCCTCCTGCCTTGCTGCTGTCCATCAGCTACAGAAGCTGGGAAGCTGACTTACTTGGGATGTCATATTGTACCAGTGTCTCTGTCCTAACCCTGAACGTCCAACCGAGTCACCAAGCCTGACTAGTCCCCAGTGTCCCCCCTGGCATATGGCTAAGGTCTATAGCCACCTCACCTCACTCCCACACAGCTACCATCCTGGCTGCATCCTACGTGATCTCAAGCTCTCTGGAAAGATTAAAAAGAGAGCCTTCTTAGAGAATCAGGAGGCCCCTCACCAATTATGGGCCCAGTGTCATGAGTGCTGCAGAGCACAGCCCCTTCCCCTGCCCCACCTTCTCTGGCAGGAAGGGGCTTATAGCTCCTGGGAGGAGAAAAGAACTCTGCACTGGGTACTATGTCTGACTCTCAGGTTAACTTGGAGTCCTCTCTAAGAAAATATCCTTCTTGGCCCCCCAGGAGTACGCCCACACCTTCCTTCCCTCTCACGTTTGCATCTCCTAAACACTAAGAGTCCCCATGAGACTCACAGCCAGGGAGCAATGGGCAGTGGCAGTTCATCCGGGCTAATGCCCTGAACCTGTCTCCAAGGCCCTTTCTCTGACTTTCCAGTGAGCCAAAGGAGTCCCACGGAGGCTCTCTCCTGTTGCTTCTTAGATCCTAAGGCCTTCCTTGTTTCACTGTCTCCAGCTTTAATACATATACTCTCAAAAGAAAAGAAAAGAAAAAGACAATCTCCTTCTTTGGAAGGAGGTGAAACTTGGCAGGTGATGAGCCAGCTACCACGGTGACTGCAGACTGGAGAACAAGCAGAATCCTGCAGAGGGATGGGGCCAGCATGGGAGAAGGAGGGGAGAGCTGACTGGATACCATGAGGGGGGAGGGGCCTAGGACCTACCCATACTCTGGGTCCATGCTAGCTTCCCACTGGGGTGGTATGGACAGAAGGGCTGGGGGGGGGGGCGGGGGGGGGGGATGCAGCAGAGCTGAGTGGCAATCAGACAAGCTTCGGATAAAATGGACAAAGTACTTCACTCGCTGAGCACCAGCATCTTCATCTGTAAAATGGGCATAATAGCTCCTACTATATACAATGAGGACAAGAGAAACTTCTTAGCATGTTGTTTGGCAGATAGTTGGTACCCAAGCAATGACTGTTGTTGTCAGGATGTTCTCAAGTGCAAGAGTGGCCTGGGCCTGCAGGTGGGCCCTGTCCACACTCTGGTTGGGAAGAAGTAAGCATGAGCCAGGCAGGCGGTAATGGCCTTTCTGATCCTGAACCGAGAACCTAGGAGGTGGGAGGGAACTTGAGGACAGGACTCTTGTCCATGCTTAGGGAGGCCACACCTATAAAGGATAAAGAAAGGTTACCGAGGGCAGGGATGGGCATTGGGTTCGTGTTGCTACTGAGACTGTACTGTGTGATTCTGAGGCCGAATGCAGGGTAGCTGGGAAAGAGTGCTGTGGTTGATTAGTGATGTCTGCCAGGCCCAAGGTTTGGAGAGTTGGTGTTTACCATCCTTATCTCCAAGGCTGGATTCAGCTGTGGCAGGGAAAGTGGAAGCTGGGGGTCCAGAAATTATTCAGATTATTGAGCATCTCTCATCACTAATCTCCATTCTGGGAAATTAGAAAACTGAGGTTCTGAAAGGGGAAGTGACTTACCCAGAGTCACCCAGCCAGCCAGGTATGAGCCCAGGCCTGGCTGACCCAAGCCCACTCTATATTCCACTGGAGCATGGGAGGCCAGAGTTAGGGCCCACCCAAATAGAAAAAAAAATCTTTCAAAGCTCTGGTTTAGATTCAGAGATAGACCCATCCTGGGGCCTCCAACTTACTCTCTGAGACCCCACCAACCTGGATTTCCCCTCTCCTGACTAGATACCTCTCTCTCTTATCCACTAGGAAACAGTCAAAGAAAATGGACTTTGAAGATTTTGAGAAATTCACCAGGTCTGTACAAATCATCTAACTCTGGATGGGGGGTAGATAGGAGGAGGTCTAGCTTCAATTTGTGGAGGTGCCTGGGACTCTGCAGGTTCCATGGTGCTCTTAGCACAGCATCTGGGGTGGTATGGACCAGTGTCCAGGGGGAAGCAGTGCCTAGGAGCTGAGAGGCAGAAAACAACTTAGAGTGCCAGGAAGGCTTTGGATGCTTTCCATGTGTTAACTCATTTCAATCCTCTCAACAACCCTGCGAAGTTACTTTTCACATACCCAACCTACAGAAGAGGAAACTGAGGTACAGAACATTTCTTATTAAAGTCACACATCTGTTAAAGTGGTGGAGCAGGGATTTGTGAGAAATGGCTCACCTGTCCAAATTTCAAATGACGGACTAGGAAACAGAAGCCTGGCAAAAATGAGACTTTTAATAACACTCTTGGGAGTGGGTGCCCATTTTACAGGGCAAGGAACATAGCCTATTTATTTAGACTTCCTCCAGTTCCTCATTGGCTGAGGACTAATTTGGTCACCTATTTCCTAAGAGGTCGCCTAGGTCTTACTGTCTCCCATTGGGTTATATTTTTTTAAAAAAAGGGGGCTGAGGCCTTCTCTAGTTGCCTCCACCTCCCTTTGGCTAGGGGCATCATCCTAGGACATGTGCTATCAGCCACATATACAGCTCTCATCCTCTCTCCCCACCCCCACATCCTGTTTGCTCTGGGGAAATTCAGCAATGGCCTGGCCAGATGCTGTTTCTTTTCTATGAAGATAAATCAGAGGCATGTTTCTTACAGATTCAATCCAGCTACACTGGCTCCAGAGGCTGTACTCTTAATACCATATCAAAATGTTTCTAGAGAACAGATGATGTACTTGTAAAGAGTTTGGATTTTAGAGGCAGCAGACTGGAGTCAAGCCAACACTCTGCTGCTTGTCAGGGAGAAATGACTTATCCTCTCTAGGCCTCTGGGTCCTTACCGGTAAGGCAGACAGGGTAATAGAAGCATGAAATGCAATGCTACACCTCCTCAATGGCCACAGTTGGTTTGCTCGCTGAGGAGCTCCAGCCCTGCCCTGTCCACCACCATGAAAACCTTCCTTGTGTCTTCTCATTTTTCCAGGAAGCTGAAGGAGAAGAGGCCCCGTGGTCCACAGCGTACCCACCCCAATTTCTTCTGGCCGGGTCACCTCCTGGATAAACTGCAGCTCTACCTGCCCTCTGTGACTGTGGACCGGAGCCTGATGCTATTCAGTTGTGTGCAACAGCGGCCCCCAGTTTACCCAGCCACCTACCACTCCTATCTGTGATGGCCCATTAGGAATAGGGACTACTTGACCTGTGTTTATTTCAATGCCCCCAAGATCTACTACATCGACTAGAGTGGCCCAGGTGATGTCAGACCCAGCCATCCTGGGCTGGACACCAGTGCAGCTAGCAGCCCAGAGCCATAGACACCAGGAGTGTCAAAGAGCCAAACAGAAGAAATCATTTCAGTGGGATGGCCTGGGGCTAGCTGTATCCAGAGTAAAGTGGTGTCCAGGGTCTCAGAGGCAGATGTGTCCAGGGAAAGATGTGCAATTTTGGGGTGTTTCCCTGCCCTTTTGAAATAAACCAGACTGGAGTTTCTATCATGTCACCTGTGATCCACCTGATGTGATTTCTTACTCAGCTGTGGCTAGGAGGGTGTTTGGAAAAGTTGGGGTCCTGAGCCTGAGGTAATACAACAGGCACACTCCCTGGGATGTTGATGGATGCCTGCCTGGCAACTCCAGCCTCTGATCCTGGGATCTCAGTGTCCAAGGGGAAGCAGCAGGCAGTGTTGGGAACCCTGTGCCTTCCTCTGAGAAACGCCATGTCTCTCATCCCCCCAAAAAACTGAGCCATTGGATTACTTCTTCCAAATCTCCCGAGTCTTTTGCAATTGGAAGCATGCGCTCTGGTTCATGAGCTCTTTGTCTGATTAACCCATCTGATGCTGTCAAAACCATTTCCATTATATGGACAGCTATTTTTTAAAAAATAATTATTTTTTATTGATTTCAGAGAGGAAGGGAAAGGGAGAGAGAGATGGAAACATCAATGATGAGAGAGAATCATTGATTGGCAGCCTCCTGAACGCTCTCCACTGGGGATCAAGCCCCCAACTCAGATATGTTCCCTGACCACATGACGGAATCCAAAAGTGTCCCCCTGGTTCATAGGTAGATATGGGCAGCTATTAACACAGTGCTCCCTGCTCTGCATCCCATGTGGCTCCCCACAGACCACAGGATAAGCAGGGTTCATGAGGTGTGATTCACAAAGGGGTTTTAGTCTCAACTCTGTTTGCCAAATATGTGGCCTGGAACAAGACATTTGACTTCACAGTTCACGGTTCACTTCTTTGGGTCTCAAATGCCCCTTCCCTTCACAATCAAAATTTCATGACGGAGTTGGCAACACTCGCTCTCCTCACTTCTCATTCAGTTAAGAACACATCCAGTTTAGCAACTGTCTCCATCTGGCCCCTGGAATTATTCCTATCAAGATCACTAATAACATCAGTATTGTGGGATCCAGGGACATTTTTTTCTTCTGAAATTTGATTTTTGCACTAATCTTTTTTTAATATATATTTTTATTGATTCCAGAGAGGAAGGGAGAGGGAAAGAGGTAGAAATATCAATAAGAGAGAATCATTGATTGGCTGCCTCCAGCACGCCCCCTACTGGGGATCAAGCCCACAACCTGGGCATGTGCCCTTGACGGGAATCGAACGGGGGACCCTTCAGTCCACGGGCCAACGCTCTATCCACTGAGCCAAACCGGCTATAGCGGGCTCCCGCTAATCTTAAAACCAAAAACTAAACAAACCAAACCAAAAATAACAATTAAAAACTTAGCCATTTTAACCTAATGGTTAGAAGTGTGGATTTTGTCAAACCCCCAAATTTCACTTTCTACATATGTAAAATAATATATTTAAGTCGTAGAATGGTGGAAAGGATAGTAAATCCCATTGCATGATAGCTATTTTACGTAGTCTCATTGTTTTTTACAATAACTCACGTGAGAGTATATTATGAAGTCTTTATTTTGCTTCCTCCTGGCCCACAAGAGGCGCACTTTGGAGCAGAAGAAAACAGGGCGAAAATAATAAAAAAAAGCTGGAGGCGGAAGAGCAGCTTCAACTTCTGGCGGAAGTGGGTGCCCCCACCAGGTCTTAGAAGCTCAGAAAGAATTCCAAATATCCTACGTAGTCCCAACAGCAGGTCTGAACATTTTTCAGTACTATTCCTAGACATTAATGTCTATTAAAACACAGGTAACCTTCAGCTTTTTCCAGTGTTATTTCTCTGACGTTTATTTTTGAACCACCAAGAACCGGAAGTGCTCTCCTTTTCCCTGCCAGGACCCAGAGGTCAAGTCCCATCAGGCCTCGCGCGGCAGCTTCCCCTCTCTTCCTCGGCGCTGCCTACGGAGGTGGCAGCCATCTCCTACCCGGTGAGTTATAATCGTCCGTCATCTGTGTCTCCGCGTTGTCCATCAGGCCCAGTCGCTCCCTGGTGAGGAAGCTTGTCCTTCCGAGGGGTCGTCTCATTGGGTGTATTCCTCGCCGCCTGGCTGGAGCGCCTACAGGAATACAACGAGGTGACCCGGCCGGTGTTGGAGGTTGGCTTGCCGGGGACGTTTGCTCCTACGGCGGCCGCTTGGGGTCATTCTGAGCTGGGAACAGCTTGTTTGAGCCGTGGGGGCGCGGGGCGCCGATTGAAACCAAACGGAGGGGGCCCTCGCTGGGCGTGGAGCGATCCGGGGTTTGCAGCCTCACTGGCCAGGGCCCGAGTCGTTAGGTTACTACAGTAGATCAGCGATATCCGCCCATGTGTTTTAAAAAAACCTGTTTCTGTTGCCCGACGCTCCCTTCCCCATAGTTTCTGGCCCTGGGTTTACTGCTGCGGCGGAGCTGCCAAAAAAAAAAGAGAGAGAAAGAACCGAGTTGGCGTGTTGACTCGCTCAGTTACCAAAATTTCGGTTATCGGGTCAGGATGTCTGGGAATCTGTAACTGTGTCGTTGTCTTGGAGGAAATCAGTGGGAGAGGGCTGTGCATTTACTATTTACTGGGTGCGAGCAAATTGAGGACACTTGAGGAAGGTAACTTTTGAGTTGATTTTCAGGTAGAATGGCATTTCAAAGGCCCCGGGGCGTTTTAGAAGTGAACCTAGAGGGTTCTCTCTGCCAAACGCCTGCCCTAGTCTGGGCACGGCACGCGTTCAACGTGCATTAGTGTCTCCGTTTTTATAGGTGAGAAAACAGATTCCAGTTCACGTGGTTTGTCAAATGCCGGCATAACTAAAAGGAGATGGGACCGGCTGGGACACTGGGGCGTACGTAGGATCTGCTGCCCCTTTGCCTGCTGAGGACGTTTGGGGCCAGCCAGTGGGATTCTTTCTTGGCTTTGAGTGGGCGAGGCGACGCCTAACCTCCCAGGACCGCGTCTGGCGAGTTGGCTAATATTCTGCCAGCTTCGGAGACGGGAGGGAAAACAGCCTGGCAGAGGTACCCATTCCATTCCCTGCTTGCTCGGTAGCTGGCGATTGGAAGGCACTCTGCAACAGCGCTGAAGCCCCGGGCAAGGACAGCCTCTTGTCAGGACTGTGCTTTGTTTCAAGGTACCTGTCTCTTTTAAAGGCACCATGGCTGCCCTCAGACCCCTCGTGAAACCCAAGATTGTCAAAAAGAGGACCAAGAAGTTCATCCGGCACCAGTCAGACCGATATGTCAAAATTAAGGTATGTGGTCCGGGGTGGAAGTGGAAGTGTTATGTTGGGGTGAAGAAAAGGGTTCCTGAATCAGATACTATTGGGTTTCTGACATCACTTAGTCAGAAGATTACCTTTGGCAGGTGAATCAACAAGTGTGGTTGGTGGAAGAGCTCACCGTAGAAACCTAGGTATTTATTGGAACTCAGCCTCTTGAAGTGTAAATTGGAACTTAAACACTTGGCTGTTTTGAGGTGTCCAGAGGCTTATTTCAGGTGGCCTTGATGGTACGAGGGGTAATTATCCTTACTTTATAGATGAGAAAACTTAAGTCTTGAGGGCATTGTGGGAACCCATTCTCTTCATCTTAACTGCACCATCTCATGTTCCGTTGGTGTGTAATATGCTTTTCCTTTGTTTAGGAGGAGTGTGGATGTGGGTCCACAGGAGCCCTTTATTTCTTCACTAAAAAATATATAAATAGTGAAAGCCTGTAACCCAGACTGCTACTGTTAGTTTTCATTTGGTGCCCTTTTTTCTTCCAAAAGGAAGAGTTGGCAGTCTGCATAGACACTACTAACCCAATCTATGTGTTGTTTTTCAGCGGAACTGGCGGAAACCCAGGGGCATTGACAATAGGGTGCGTAGAAGATTCAAGGGCCAGATCTTGATGCCCAACATTGGTTATGGGAGCAACAAGAAAACAAAGCACATGCTGCCCAGTGGCTTTCGGAAGTTCCTGGTCCATAACGTCAAGGAGCTTGAAGTGCTGCTGATGTGCAATAAGTGAGTTGGATCCCCCCTCTGGGTTCAGATGCTAAGAAGTATGCATCTGTGAGCATTTTTGGTAGGGGTTCTAGACCTTTCAAAATGCATGTGGAGTTGTATATTCTCCCAGGAGCTTAGTGAATGCTTCTTGGGAGGAATGTGAGGTGGGGGCGCATGACGGCTTGTCCTGAAAAGTGTAGAGACCCAAAAAGAAGGACTTGAATTAACACTACAAACACTGCTGTGTCATTTGGGCAGTCATTTCCAGAACATTGCTTTATTTATGTGAGGGGTAGCTTCAGACCTAAGGAGCACTTTAACTGTGGCCACAGGTATCTTCAGAATGTTGTGCTGTCTGATGTATAGAGAGTGTGATCAGAGGTAGGGAAAAGGAAGACTACAGGCAGAGGGCACTTAAACAGTGTATAGATGCGAGAGTGAATTAGGGGTCCTAACATTGCTTTCTTGTTGTTTTAAGAAAGACACTTGGTGAGCTCTGTGTGAGACTGGTTTGCTTAGGCCAAAACTAGGACAGTGGGTTGAGAAAATAATGCTCATGGGAAGACACAGGTAATAAAAATGAGTGAACCCATTTTTAAAGGATGATTCTTTATTGTTAAATGTATTACATGTCCCCTTTTTCCCCATTGTCCCCCTCCAGCTCGCCCCTGCCCCCCTTCAGCAGCCTATTGTCTGTGTCCATGGGTTATGCACAGACAATACAAGATCTTTGTGAAACCATATTTGGTTGAGTTTCTAGGTTGGAAATTTAACCAGGCATGGAAATACTGGAAATTTTCTTTAGAAAGGATGAGCATAGGGATTAATAATGGTGGAGGCCCAATCTAATCTATACCTGTTGTGTAGCAAAAAATGGATGTAGTGCAAATGTTGCAGTATCAGGAACCATGATTTTTAATCCACAAGTTTCATTTCTGGGCATTTATGCTTAAATAAAATGCAGGGAAGCTATAAGCTGATCATTGCAACAGTAAATGAACAATTTGTAAATATAATACATAAATTAAAAAATTGTCACGTATGGGAAAATGCCCAACCACCAGGGAAAGTATTTAAAATATGTACAGTGTGATTATTAAATACATATGGATAAGGTGAGTTTATCCATA